GACCCTAGAAATTGAAGGCCAATGAGGGATTTACCAAACCATCTCCCAAGATCTCTTGACCCCTCTAAAAACTCTACTATTTCTCTCCAGCCAAATACCACACAAAATAACCAAAAAAAAAATATGCCAAAGAATCTTTCCTTTACCCCAAAAGAGAGGATAAAATAACACCTCCTCCACCATCGCTCGACAATCTCTACGAAGCGCCAACAAAACTCCAAAAGCATTCAAAAAATGCACCCAAAGGAATGGGACAAACTGACAACCCCAAAGGTGTGGTCAAAGTCTTCCAATGCATTTCTGCAAAAGAAACGCCAATGTAGCCTCAAACAAAAGGAAGAGTGTCTGAATACGATCTAAAGTATTGATTTTACCATGCATGACATGCCAGCAAATAATTTAATCTTCTTTGGAACTTTAACCCCCATAGTAAGGAGAACAAAGGGGAGCCAAGGGAGGATGAGGGACACATAAAAAAAATGGAAAATGAGCTAAATAGAACCCTCCTAATAGACTAGGAGACCAAACAAAAGGAAGAGTGTCTCTGAATACGATCTAAAGTACTGATTTTACCGTGCATGACATGCCAGCAAATAATTTAATCTTCTTTGGAACTTTAACCCCCTCAGTAAGGAGAACAAAGGGTTGCCAAGGGAGGATGGGGGACACATAAAAAAGATGGAAAATGAGCTAAATAGAACCCTCCCAATAAACTAGGAGACCAAACATGAATATCTCTCCTCCCTTCATCCCTCGACAAAAACAGTAAGGTTGAGCTATACCAGTTGCTGCTTTTGCTATCAGATTAAGTACATATATCAATTTTCCTTCCTAGCGTGATAGATGTGAACTATAAGTACAAAGATGGAAAATAAGCTATCACGTTAAGAACAAAGATGGAAATTGAGCTATCACATTAAATTTTCATAGACCAAACATTGATATATGTACATAATGTGATATGAAACTTTAATGTGATAGCAAAAGCAGCAACTAGTATAACTCAAAACCCGGTCCAACATTATTGGAATTTGGACAAAACCTACTGAGACTGATAAACACTCCGTACAGGGGAAGATTGAAAATATTGTGATTTTGACACCAATATTACCTACGAGCAACTAGATTTCAGGTATTAGTGAAAAAGGGTCTACCCAAACCTCATATTCAACCTAATAGAAGCAAGGTATAATGATAGACATATTCAAACCAGCTTGAAGTGGACTCCTGCCAGCTGGAAATAGCATACATTTGTTGTAAAACTATTTCAGACTACTATGGCAGCAAAGATTCCATTAATCATTAAAAACAACTTGTTGATTAATATTTCCATAGTTAGCTCCTAAACTATTCCTAGTGTGTAAATACTAGATAATTTCCTTATTGGCTTGCCAATCATTCACAAATTGAATACATCCCACTTTTTCTACCAAATGCAAAGAGAATTGTTTCTACCTGAATCGTTGACATCCAAACATCAACTGGAAAATACGACCCCAGACTTGTGATTGCCTGACTAAGCAGATCAAATGCTACAGCCTGAACATCCCATAAACCATTACATTTGGGTACACTTTTCACAATTTCAGTGGTATAACCATGTTTAATGATTGGATTTGACGAGGGAAATATTGCTGATTGAGAGCCAGAAATCACGGAAAGCAAGAACTTTGCGACCTGAATATCTTCTGATGGTAAAAACTTGCGCTGGTGTGAACAGACAACATGTCTGCAAAAGATAGAAAATTTTCATAGGGAAGCAGGAAAAATATTGATACTAAGGAAAAAAGAATGTGCATAGTTGATCATAAGTCCATACAAGGAAAGAAACTACAAGATACAAGACATCGTATCATAAACAAACAACAACTATGAAATTATTTAGTCAAAGAAATCCCGAGAGAAGCTATGAAGTGTACATTCAACATAAATTCCTATCGCATGCGGACTCCTTTCTTACACTCTACGCTCATATACTCTAGTGATTTGGGGCCTATCATGACCCTTCCTCAATTATAGGAGAACCACAAGAGCAGGATTTTATTTTATCAAAACTGCTCGATCCCTCTTCTTATCTTCAATGATAATCATTCTAACATTTTATTAGAAAAAGCTTCATTGACACCAAAGAAGAATATGACAAAAAATTCACTACACCTGATATTCAGATGGCACCTTTTCTTTATCTTCCCAATCACTTTTTGACTATAAAGATCACCATAACAATAGATGGCCCTTTTGTTTCTTTCATTTTCTTAATGAACATTGACTTTATCATCGTGAGAGAGATAGACCATTGGCAATGATCTAACGTCTCGTGCATCCAGAACATTAAAAAAAAATAATAAATAAATACCTGCAGAATAATGAATAAACTATATTTTCTGCAGTATTTAGGTCAGAGAGTTCAAAGTTTGTTTCATTCTCAATAAATGACAATAAAACTAAACTTTCCTTCTCCCACTATACAGATCACAAAATTCAACCAATTCAATCATACGAGCAAACATCACTCTAGCCCCAAATGACAAAATGCTAACCTATTGCGCAGAAATGGAAGCAAGAAAGAGAAGATTTCCCAAGTTAACATGGAGAGAAAAGTGAAGCTAACCTTACAATCTCCAAAGATTCCAAGACAGGTCTGATTTGAGCAAAATTTCCGGGAATATTAAGTTTTCCAAGAAGGAATTGGATCACATCTTCAAAATATTGAAGAAGCAGGACCCAAGAGGACGAACTGAATTCAAGAGCAACTTCATAAGAAATACCATGGATCTGCATTGGGTGCAAGAATATAAATAATTAGAGAAAACTGAGAAATCAGAACTCAGAAGAGCACCATCAGGAGCAGAACAACGTTAAGACACTAAAGTTATCCACCTGGGGAAACATTTTTTTGACGAGAAACACATATTTCATATTATGAAATATACAAAAAGGAAAGGAGTTATATAGGAGCTCTCCAATTCCTTAAGAGGTCATTTAGACTATAGCTAGAGAATGAAGGAAAATAGCTTTTACACCAGCTAAGAGCTGTAACCAAAACTCCATCAAAAAAGTTGGCAAACGGCTGGGACTTGTTGTCGAAAATTCTGCTATTCCTTTCTCTCCAAAGATTCCAAAGAAAAGCTCTAATGAAGAGGGACCACATAATCTTCTTGTTTTTTTTGAAAGGATGTCCCCCAAAGTAACTTGTAACTGAGAGTTTATCTGCGCATGAAGAGGGAATTGCCAGTCGAAAGCTTCAATGATGGAACTCCAAAATCTGTGAGCAAAATCGCAAGCGACAAAGAGATGGTTTTGGGTTTCTGCTGCCTTGAGGCACATTATGCACCCATTTGGAGATAAGGCCATCAAAGGAAGACGCCTCTGTAACCTATCTTGGGTGTTGATAGCTTCGTGACTGAGCTCCCAACAGAATAATTTTACTTTTTTGGGGTATTTCTCTGCCCAAATAATTTCATAAGACAAGGGGGAGGAGTGTGTTGCGCAGCTGTGAGGTGCTTTAAGAGGGATTTAACCGTATAGGTTTGAGTGGGGTCCATAGGCCAAATCCATTTGTCTTCCCTGTGAGAGAGATGAATAGCTGAGATTTTGTGCTCAAGGTCAATCTATTCTTCCAGTTCCTCATCTTTGAGCGGTCTGCAGAAGTGATGATTCCAAGAAGCTGTGGGTTGATCCCACAAATCACTGACCTTAGCATCTTTCTTTGTAGAGGGAGAGTGGAGGCAGGGGAAAAGCTCAATCAAAGGGATGTTAGAGGTCCATCTGTCATACCAAAAGCTAGCCAATCTACCATAGCCAATTTTACAAAGGACTGTATTCTTAATGTTGTTGATGCATTTAGATATGCCAGCCCATGGACCTTTGAAAACTTTGGACGGTTGATTTGGCCATGGCTGATTTGGAGAAATCCCATATTTCGCTCCAATCATTTGTGTCCAGAGGCTGGCCTTTTCTGTTGCAATTCTCCAGACCCACTTAGATAATAGAGCTTGGTTTCGGTTTAAGATGCTGCCTATCCCCAAGCCTCCTTGTTTAGTGGGGAGATGTACTTTTCTCCAATTGACTAGATGCAGATTGCCACTCGACTTAGGGCCTTCCCAAAGGAAATTCCTAAGAATTTTATCGACTAGATGGGCTGCTCCCTTAGGGATTTCAAAGAGAGAGAGGTAATATGTAGGGAGATTGGAAAGTACAGCTTGAATCAGAGTAACCTTACCTTCCTTTGATATGTGATGATTGGTCCATTTCTGAAGTTTGTTCTCCACTCTTTCAATAATATTGTGCCATAAAGACAAGGATTTGTACCTGCCATGTAGGGGAAGACCAAGGTAAGTCGATGGCCAGGTGCCAATGCGGCAGGAGAAGATGGAAGCAGCATCCGATAAGGAGGAAACCTCAATATTTAATCCCAGAATCTCTTATTTGTTGTAATTAATGTTCAGACCAGATGCCTCCTCAAAGATTTTAATATTTTTGGCTAAGTTTCTGATGTGAATGGGTTCAGCAGAGGAGAAAAGCAGTGTGTCGTCAGCAAATTGAAGATGGTTAATATGGAGAGAACCATCCTTGGAATGATAGCCCGATAGGTGCCTTCTAATGGAGCCATGGTGAAGGAGACGACTTAGGCAGTCAATCACAGGAATGAAGAGGAAGGGAGATAGTGGATCCCCTTGTCTAAGCCCTCGGGTTGCTGTGAATTTACCTCGTGGCTTCCCGTTGATAATAATGGAGAAGTTTGTGGTTGAGACACATGCACAGATCCATTGCCTCCACTTTTCCCCAAAGCCTTTGGCCTTTAGAATGGCATCAAGGAAGTCCCAATCGACTTTGTCAAAGGCTTTCTCAAGATCTAGCTTATGCATGATCCCTTCGCTCTTTCTGACTTTCCAATCATCAACGATCTCATTGGCAATTAGGCTAGCATCTAGAATTTGTCGACCTTCAACAAAAGCAAATTGATTAACTGTAATAGTAGGAGGGAGGACCTTTTTTAGCCTTTCAGATAGGACTTTAGCAATGATTTTGTATGCACAAGGAATGAGGCTAATAGGTCTGAAATCATGTACTGTTCTGGCAGCCCTTTTCTTTGGAATGAGGCAAATGTAAGTCTTGTTGAGGCTAGCGTTGATGATGCCATTTTTTAAAAAATCTTGGAACACTACCATGAGGTCTGATTTGATAGTGTTCCATGATTTTTTAAAAAAATCCGCTGTAAAACCATCAGGACCGGGGGTTTTGTTTGCACCAAGACTTAGAACAGCTCTGTGCATTTCCTCCTCTGAGAAAGCTGATTCGAGGGATTGGCTTTGGTATACTGGAATGGGATCCCACTGAATGTTGCCCGGTAAAAACCTTTTATCATCCTTCCTAGTATAAAGGCTCTTATAAAAGGATAGAAATTCAACCTCTATCTCACTGTCTTGCAGAAGGCTATGACCATTGGAAGAAAGGGTTTCAGAGATAGTACCTTGCCTCTTCTTAGCAGCTAACATTCGATGGAAAGAGCCGGTGTTCTCATCTCCTTCCAGCATCCATCTTTGTTTGCATTTCTGTCTCCAAAAAGATTCTTCCTTTGCTGCTAAAGAGAGAAGTTGGTCTTTTATGCTATTTCTGCTTTCCACCTGATGTTGCGAGAGGGGGCCAGTATCCTCCAGGGAGTCGATGGCTTTCAAATCTGCAATGAGGCTAGTTTTTTTATGGTGGATGCAGCCGAAGTGGTTTTGGTTCCAATCTTTTAAGGCCAGCTTCAGCTGTTTGAGTTTCATCATGAGGCCATGGCCGGGCCAGCCTTGTAGAGGGGTAGAAGACCACCAGTTTTGGAGGAAAGGAAGAAAGGTTTTGTGGGTGAGCCACATGTTTTCGAATCTGAAAGGACTGGGGCCCCATTTGACATCTCCGAAGTTCAATAGGATTGGGTAATGGTAATGTTTCCCCAGGTGAACATTTATGAGTAGTGCATATTTCTATTCATAAAAACATTTATGAATAGAAATATGCACTACTCAAATTCCTTATCATACAGAAATGTACACTTTTTAACAAATACTATATTTTCCGTGGTTATAGCTAATTTAAACCTTAAGGGCATTAATCTAGCAGGCTGCTGCGTGTTTATGAAATATATTCTGTGTATTGCATACATTGTCGCAATGACTTTAAATGTGAATTATCTTGAAACTTTCCACTATACTTGACCTATTTGTAAGTCAGGCAATAACTATTCCCCACTGAATATTCAACTTTCACATACAGAATCATCCTGATGAAGAATGAAACTTGATTGACACCATGAGTTTTGCATCTCTTAAATATAATTTTTTTTAATTTGATGATGAATATCCGCATGTCAAGTAGAGACTATCAATTATTTGAAAACATTCACCAGTAAACTTGAATTTTTCATATCACTTAACCAAATAATATATGCTTATCTTTTTCATTATCTAAAGTACTGATTCAAAATCCATGGTCTCATGAATCAAGTTTCTTTACAATGAAAGGAACTTATCCATTGTCATGTGATAGATATTTTCTCTTCACTGAATGCTGAAACGTTAGGCCTCTATGATAGCAATGAAACTTTCACTTCTCATAACAAAATCAGAAGAAAATTTTGTCAAGTTTGTATACATCGCAAAGAGACAATTATCATGGGCAGAATATATATGATCAAATTCTTGGTCAAATTCTTAACAGATTAACGAAAATGAACTAATAGAATAAACCTCCCGATTTCATCATTCTGTCTCTACCCCTTGGAAAAGGGTCAAAAAGACGAAAACATTAAAAATTGAAATTCAAAATGTAATTTGCACCAGATGTATGATATCTGCGAAGACGGGGGCAATGTCATGCGCGGTTTTTGAAGCAGGAGTAGCCACTTCAAGGAGAAACAGCAGATCTGATGATACCTACTCACACAAAGAAGGAACAAGAAAGTGATAATCGTGCATTTTGAAGAACATCGACTCAGACATAGAAAAGGGGGAAATCGTACTTCGGGAGGAGGAAGGTAGTGAGCGGCAGCGATTAAGGAATCGGAGTGGGAGAGGATGGTGTTGTGGAGAAGTTCGGAAATTGAGGTTGAGGACGACATCGATTCGTCTCGGAGAGTCAGAAACGCCGTCCTCCATGACCTTACTGAAGACGCTGATGACGATGACGGTGTCGCCATCCCCACGCTTCACTTCTTCGACCTGGCGATCAGTTAATCTCCATCGCCTCACTAGCCGTTGCCTTGGGTTATTGGGCTGAATGAATCTTCTTCGTTTTTTTTCTTTCCTTCATTGAGAACGAATGAATCTTCATTATTATAATGAATTGAAATTAAAATGACTTGTTTGTATATATTTTACAGAGGGAAATATATTTTTAATTGGACTTTCAATTTTATCAAATTTGACCTAAGTTAGTATTGTAATTTTTACTTGTTTGTATATATTTTCTTGCTAATTCGCCCCTAATCTAACAAAAAAATGATGCAAAACAGATTTGCTAATTGAGCGAAAATCAAGTTTCTGTACAACTTGTTTTTTTTAAAGGAAAAAAAGAACTTCGTTAAAGATTAGAAAAATCACTTTCAACCAGATTATGAGTACGTAGAACGAGTGATTTAAAAAAAATTTGATTTTTCAAAATCACCCTCTAAATAATATCTTATAAATTAATTTTAAATGATTTTATGTTTTCTAAAATCGAAATTTTAATTTGTCGTGATTAATAGAAATGGAGCTGATAGATAATTTTGCGGTCCCACGCACACCCTACATATTTCACATAAACCGCACTCTTCGGGCTCCTCAAACTCAGAAGCTTTCCTTGCATGTGCAATTGATGGCTGCTCTCACGGTCTTCCAAATTGATACCACTCCAGTACAATTCACGAGGTCGTGGATTTCTTCCAAAACCCAACGGATTTATGTGAGATCGGTGTTAGAGAATAAAATAGCCCACTAATAATCATCTTTATCGCAAAAAGCATAATATTTGTTAGCTAATCCGGTCATGATCTCAATTAAATCGAATTTCAAATTTCAAATTGGAATTTACCATTTATAAAAATAGATAAATCAACCTAAAACTGCTAAACAACAAAAATGATAAATTTGTTGGTTCACCCGGCCTCGATTACATCTAATTCTCTAATATTATTGTACGTTCTATTAAGATGTAGATATAATATCCTATATATGATACTTCTTCGTTTTTCTTTATCCATAAAACACTCATGAATCACTCTACAAATTTTTTAAAGCTCTCTAAAAGATAATACTGAATTCTCAAACTCCGTGTTCTTGAAAAATTTCGGCCTTCCATAAACGCTTCCATATGTCACTTCGAAGTTTCGGATTAGAATAAGCAATATCCGTCGTGTTTTTAATATCCTTACCTATGTTATAAGCTCGTTTGGTTCAAAATATCAAATTTTTATCTCGATTTTAAATAACCTCATCAACTATGTCTCTTTTGAGCAATGGAATATGCTAGATAAGTTAAACCTCCAACTTAATGAAACCATACTTGATATTTTCTTCATCCCATCTCCTCTCGTGCTCATATGTATGTCATTAAATGTTGTAAGTAAGAACCATCTCCACATTACATTGTGACTATTAAAAATTATGCTATAGAGGTAAAAATAAAGGAAGATGTAGTATAAAGTAACAATATTTTATTGTTTTTTTTAACTCAATAATTATATGATAAGAAATCGAATCATTGATTTTGAAGATGTTGATTTATACTCTGATTGACCGCCAATATTCTTCATTTTGCTAAATTTACAATCTGCCAATGCATTATGACATGTTTTGCAAAATTAGCTTCTAAACAATACCTCGTATATTTAGCCACTTGAATCTCTAAACTAAATAATCATTAAGATTTTGAATTTTTTTTAATACAGCAACATATGAAAGTAGGGATCTAAACTTAGATTTTTTAATCAGAAAGGTGCTTAAATTAGTTGAGCTAAACTTATGAATATGATCTTTTTCTTCTCAAGCGAACAAGTTCAATATGAACAATGATGTTGTAAATTCTTTTTCCTTAGTAAATGCTTTCTAAAATAAAACTATTTTTTATGAGTTTTTTTTTTAAGAATTACTAATTTTAAAGTATGTTTTGTATAGTTTATTAATTTATTTTAAATATCTAAAAGTATTTTAAAGAACGCAACCGTTTATCATGATAAATAGAGAAAAAAAACATTAAAAAAATCAAATTAAAAAAAAAGTACCAAACCAACCCAACACGTACTTTCAGAAGAAAAAACTGAAACCCACCTGATTCAAACAAACTCATTGATGATTGAACTGAAAAATGAAAAATCACAAAAAATGGTGGACAATATATAATAGGGAGTAGTAGTAATATATATATATATATATATAATAGGTAATATATAAAGTTGAACACAAAAAATAGTGGAATAATGCAACGAAATGAACAGCCACGTTGAGGGGCACAACCTGAAGAAATGTTGATTTTAGTTCTATATTGTTTTAAAAGGGTGGTCCAGGTATGATTATTGTTCATTTAATTCATTTTTTATCTTATTTCTTTTCATCATAATTGTGGTTTGTTAAATATTTTGAAATGTAACCATAAGTTTGTATAAAAAGATTTCTATTATGTATAAAATTTGTACTAAAATTTTATAAATATAGAGTTAAAATAATCCATCTTTAAAAATACCCTAAGTATAAATATTAAATCCAAGATATTAAATTTCGATATTTTCATCAAAATTTTCATGTGACTAAGTTGGACATCAAGACGAGGACAAATCGATATTTTCATGGTATTGCAAGAAAACAAAATAGACAAAATATCACTGATATATATATTATTAATATTAATCATTTGAAAAAAATTATATATATATATATATATTTATATAATGATGTTAATCATTTTTACCTTATATAGAAAATGTAAAATGTTTATTTATTAATTTAAAAAAAAATTAACGAATTTTTTATTTTTATAATATTTATAAAAAGGTCCATCAACATAAATATTTCATCTCATTTTTATCTACACTTTTATGAAATGGACAGATCGACATATGATATCAACGTTTTAGAACCTTGATTTAAAAAATAAAAATTAAAACTACCAAAATAGTAAATATTACACCTAAAACTTAACAAATATTAAAACCGTTTAAATGTAGAATCAAATCTGTGGATGCAATAATTAAGCCCCACTCCGCTAAAGCACACAGACTGTAGAGACAGACAAGACAAGGAAGACATACATATATAGCAGCGACGGCTTCACACGTTACCTCCTTTGTCAGACCTGACGTGGCATCTTATTAACACTCCACGTTACCCACAGCCCAGCTGATTGGACGCCCCAGCCACCATGCAATCTATTTATAATTTTATTAATATTTAATTACTAACTACTCAATACTACTATACTTTTTTATCATTAAAAAAAATATGATGAAGTGATAGTCGATGGCAAGAGAAATACCGACTAGTTATCAATTTTTTTTTTTTTTTATAAAACTAGTTATCATTTAATTTTGTATACTTCTAAAAAATATGACCTCTAAAATCACTTTGAGGGTTGATAAGCATCTGAGTATTATATTTTTATTTTTATTTTTTGGTTAACTCTGTCTTTCACTTCACCTCAACTCAATTTTTGGCTTCGTTAAAGAAATAAATTTTTTATTTTTTCCATATGGATTCTCAAAATCCGATCGGAAAATACTTCAATATCAAGGTTATTAGAGTTTAGTCACCACAGCATTTGTGTTAATAAATATGCATTTGATAAGACTCAAAATTTTCAATCGTGTATACAATAATAAATATATAAACTAAAGCCAAAACCAAGATAGTCCAGTGATAACTAGCATATACCTCCAACTAAGAAGTTGTGAGTTCGAATCCCCTTCCAATATGTTGTATTAAAAAAAAATATATATATATATGTAATTAAAAAAATATATCATTCAAATTCTATTAGAAATTTATTAAAGTTATAAACTTTTATAATTTAAAAATCTATTAAATATTTTTTTTAAATGGAGGACGATGTTAAATTCAAAATCATTAAACATTTTTTTAAGTTGAGGATGTACAGTTCATGTTAAATTGTAACATGAGCTATTCTAACCTAACTAAGGTGTAAAACTCAATTAAAAAGAAAAGAAATAAAAAGAAAATCTCCTATATCGAACCATATCGACCATTTTTTCTCTCACCAATCCAACTCATCATAAACTCGAAGATGGTTTTTCCTTTTTGTTATAAGTTTTATCATTAAGCCTTTAATTTTAAGTTTATCTTAAACTCTATCATCAATGACGATAGTGACATATCATATCATAGACATGAAATTGACATAATAATTCTAAAAAAAAAAAAGAATGACATAATTCGTGTCACGGGTAGAAATTGGGGTTCAAAACTTCTTCCAAAAGAAAGGAAAAAAAAATTAAAAACATTTTTAAATTTTAGATACTAAATAGAGGTAAATTTCTATTTTAACCTCGTTTCTTAACTCCGAATTTAATTAATTAACGAGCTTTCGGAAAATTGATCGGAAAATTCGAGAGCAAAAACAGATGAAGCAATTGCAATAAAAAAAAGCAAACGCTCAATTCGAACTGCTGCTAGACAGCTACGACGGCGACTACCGGGAGAAATTTGGGTATTTCAAATTTAATCTCAGGGGCAGTGGTTGCCGTCGCCGTCGCCGTCGCCGTCGCCGCTGTGCTCGGAGGACGACGGCGAGGGAGGAAGGTAGCTCCGGCGGCAAGTCGGACAAGAAGAATGCAAAATTAACCACGTTTGAATGCACTGCACGTGAAATCCGTGCTTACAAATCGACAATACTCGAATCTCTTCCCCCTCCGAGAACTCCGTCAAGCAAATCGTACACTCCGCCTCCGCTCCGGCGAGCTTCGGCTTCATCTCCGCCGAAAAAACCAGCGCCGGAGCCATCTTCAATGTGTCCAGTAAAATCGGCTTCGGCTCGTCGCGAAGTTCCTGCTGCTGGCCGGCTTGAGAAAGACCATTACCGTCGGACGGATCATCACGGCGGCCGTCGCGGCGGAGGAAGCAGCGGATGGCGGTGTTGAGAGCGAGGGCGCAGATGAGGCCGCAGAGGAGAATGATGACGACGACGGCGGCGTTAGCTTCGAAATCCTTGGAATTGGAGTACGGCCGCCAAGAACACGCGCGGAAGTCGTGGCACGGCGGTGGAGGCGGCGCGTGGAAGCGGACGGTGTCGTCGGCATCTAACGGAGTTGGTCGCATTTTCTCTCTCTCTCTCTCTTCAGTTCCTAAGCAGAGGAATTCAGTGATTGCAGAAGATGAGAGAGAGAGAGAGAGAGAGACTATATAATAAATATATATTTTTTCTTTTTCTCGATTTCCTGATTTAACTGCCCCCATTCTCTCTTACGTGGCACCTTATTATGAGGGACGAGAGCAGAGTAATTTATATAGCAATTTTACTTCAGGCGGCAAGAGTTGTATAATCGAATTTTGGTATTAATAATAATTGACAAATAAATGTATACTATTTTGCAAAGAGAAATAAATGTACTAATCTTGACGCAGAATCATAGTTGGAGGGGTAAAAGTAAAACTGATGGCAAACATGGGGTCTCTCTTTGGTTGAGATGCATATGTTTGAGCAACGTTGAAGATCGATAAGAGGTGTCCTACATGTTTAAAAGTAGGATTCAAACTCCAATTGAGGATGTTGATGCTGAATCCCATCAAGCGGGATAGATCAGCATGCATTGAATCGAAGTGAGCTAGGCGAGGATTGACCGCCCGCATGAAGGGAACAAACACTTTGAGCTACTGTAAATTGTAAGTTGTAGTTAGACATAATTGTATACTTTAGTAAGTGGAGCAGTGTCCTTTTTATAGACAACTTGGGGGAGAGGAGATGAGATCATTAAAATTGCTCTGGTAAGCAGTTATAAACCGTCTGGCTTGATGTCAGCTTCCTCGAATCGATTGGAGAGAATTTGGGCGATTTTGTAGTTGGTTTGGCTTTTAACTCGACTTATTTGGGAGATTGTCATGTTATATTTTTCCCTCCAACAAATGAAAATTTTTTACTGGTAAAAAATGTCAGTAAAACAATAATTCTAATAATAGAGGATTTTTGTTACTTCTAACCAAAGATTTGGTAAATGACCACGAGTTGTCATTCCCCAATGCTACTATGTGAAAACTAGAGTCCCACTTTCTCGGATATGTAATAACTTTCAAGATCCTCTTCAAATTACTTGCTAATGTTGTAACCTCAACGTAAATCCTACATCACCATCAATCATAAATATACCAATAAAATATTGTTAAGAATTAATGGGCTGAAACAAAAATTTCTAGAAAGTGTAGAGGCGGAAATGAAAATTAGAAACAAATTGAGATATGAAACCTTTAATTATACATATACTTTTATTTTTAATTCATTTTAAAAATTGAGGCAGGGCAATTTGCGCTGAATTGACGACAAGGTTGTTGCATGATCATTATTATGTGATTCGACATGGGTTTTTGGCCCAGACGATAATCAATTTGGCTTGGTCGTATTCTTACCTAAATTCGTCTAATCATTTGATAAACATGTCACTCTAGTAGTGTTCATGCAAAATTAATTAGGATCCTAGACACAACTCTCTCTTAATTATATATTGTTTGAACGAATTACTTAGACAACAGATCGTCACGTTTCTACAATAGTATGATATTATTCATTTTAAAAATAAGTTCTCGTTCTTTTCTTTTAGAATCATTGAAAAAACTAACTCCTACCCGTTAAGATATTTTCCATTACTTATATATCATGAATCTTCCTCTTCTCTAATCGATGTAGTATTTTTAATCACATTTGTTCGCTCTCTATATATATATTGACTTCAACACGTAAAGGTAATGATTCAAATATTTGATTTTTTAGTCGACAATAGGTGCTTTAATAAGCCTAATAAGTTGGCTATAAGTAAATAATGAGAACTTTGAACCTTTAAGAGAAAAAAATGTTCCATATGAATGTCACTTGCACATGAGTTAGTTGATCTTAATAGTCGGAAAAAATCATCTGATAGAATAGTCGGTTTACACGAGCGTGGAAAGAAATTCGAGTTGAAATTTGTGAATCGATACGTGTGTGGTAGTTGACGATAATATTGACAAAGACCGGAAAAAGATTATTATAAAATTTTAAAAATTTATTAGATGCAAAATTGAGAAGCTATTGATAATCATAACAAAATTGTCATAATTGAGTACCCGACACGTGCCCTTTTTCGAAGGTAAAACGAAGCGAACCAATTTTGTCTGCTTGCTTTCATGGCTCACACGATTACCTTCCCAATAGAAAGAGAAAGGAGCGTATTGAGAGAATTGAAAAAGGTGGTGTGGTGTGGGTGTGGCATTAAAGGAATGGGAGAAACTGAAAGTGATTGGTACTCCATCGTTTTGGAAGTATTGGAATTAGAGTGTTAAATTTCGGTCAATCCATCAACATTTTTATATGTCTACAAGTGAATAATCAACTTTTTCATAATATTGCAATAAAATTGATAAAACATTAACATATTATTAATTAATCATTTATAAAATTGTGAAATATTTAAGTTTTGTTGTAATAATTCTAAAAATATATCCATATTGACTATTCACCAATATTTTTGACATTGGTATTTTAAATCTTGATATAAGACAATTAAATGAAAAAGGAAGGAAATAGAAGTGTGTCTAAGGATTGCAGAAAGATGTAGACCCTTCCAATGCCCCCCACGCCCCCTAAGCCCCACCATCGTTATCTTCGATCTGCTTCTGCTTCTGCATTTTATATTATTTTATTCCTCACCTTCTCTCACTTTCCTTAACGTCTTTATTTATTTCTTTTTATAATGCATTGCAAAATGAGTGCCACATATTAATACTTTTTTTTTGTATACATTTGGAGTTGGGGTAAATTAGGGTTAGTGTGTTATCCAAAATTGTTTATTTCTTTCAAATTCAAAAATTGTTTTCGAATTTTATTCTTTAAAACTTAAGAACGTAGAACTAGATTAAAAAGAATATAAAGTTGATAAATTTATTATTTCATATTATAAACTGATTTTATTTTATTTTTTTAAAATAAACAATATAATATATAATATATTATAAATTATATAATATAATAAAATAATTGTTCTACTAAATTTATAACAAGTAGGTTAATAAATTAATTAATATTATTTTAAATTGTACTAAATATTTAGCTGGTAATTAATACGGTATAAAAATACATTATTAAACATTTTGATCAAAATTTTTTTTAATATTGAGATCCAATTTCTAAATCAACTACTAACCACATCCGAAAATAATGAAAATATGTAATACAATTTTATTTTCTATTAAATTTATGTTTATAGATCACCAACCAATCATATCTTTAGTTATTTATTTTATTTTTAGATGACAGCTTGTGACTTGAGATTATATTATAATTGGTTAAGAAAGAGGGAATTTATGGTGTAGTGGATTTTTAGTTCAATAATATGTAGAAGTGATATTCGAATTTTTGAATTATCATTTTGATCAATGATATATATCTTGATAAGTTTAACTATATTCAAAATTTTCTTTTTTCTAAATCAATTAAAAGGTCCATCGTGAATGTGCAAAAGACTATTTTTGTTTAGTTGAGAATTTACTTCTTAAATGGTACGTTGGTATTGGGCTTGTCTTCGTGGTGTGAGCTTCAATGTAATAATCGTTTTAAACTAGAATATTAAATATTAGTCTATTGTCAGATATTTCCATAAACATTTATACGTGTCCATGGATCCAACATTAATATTAGAGTAAATCGACATTTCTATAGTATTGTAAAAAAAAAAGTCAAAATATAAAAAATATCAACAAAATATCACTATTATAGACATAATATAAATATTAATTATTTTAACTTATTTATAAAAATTGAAATACTTATTTGTTAATTTAGATATATTTTTTTCAATTTTTATTTTGATAGTTTTTTTTAGTAATATTCATCGATATTAAAATTTTTTATTATCGATATTTCCATAAATTTGAGACATCGATATTTCTATTGACATCGATATTTAAATCCAATTATAGTTCAATTCAATATTATAATTAATACGAGACCCTCGCCATGAGTTGCCTTGAAGTGTACTGAAATACCAAGCTAGTTGAATGAAGTTGGTAATTTACTTGTTAAAGAAATCTCAACTTGAATTGTGCTTGCATTCTTCATCTTTACCTAGAGAGGGAATAGAATTAATTTTTCCATCTTTGCACTTCACTCCACTAGTCATATACAGTCTTAGCCTATTTTTTTTTTTAATTAAAAGTTTCTATAATTACTGTCTTCGTTATACAATTACTTGAGAGCTTGTTTCGACTGGCAAATTTTAACTAATATATGGGAATAATATAGATTTAATCAAAATAAAATAACGTTGATTACAAAGTATTGTGCGGCGGAGAACGGACTGTATGCAAAACTCATGTATTTGCAATAGTCGATTTAGATTCCAACTTTTTGTCTCTAAATAAAGTTGGTCTAAGTTAAGGATAACATGAAAAAAGAAAGGAGAAGTAAATGGAAGAGAATTTGGAGACGTCAAATTGTTTCTTATTGTTGGACTTGGGGGTGTGGCCAAATTGAATCCACATGAGGAATAAGGTGAGCCACAAGTTAACTGACGAACCAAATAATTAAAGAGTCCACGCATTAAATTTACTTAAATTTTGGAGACCATGGAAGAGAGATGCAGTTCCCCTTATCGCAGGGAACTAAAGTAGGATACCAATGGCGACTTTGGACACAGTGAAGTGAGGAGCTGCAGGGCATCGGTGGGGGCCCCTCCCCTCGTATTTTGGTACATCAGTCCATCTCTTTTTAATATGTTAGTTGTTTTCTTTCTTTCTTTCTTATTTTTTCCAAAATTAATCTGCCTAAATGTTGTTGATGTGATGATTGGTTGTGAACTGAACTTATCCAAATTAATTGAATGAATTTTTATGTTTTAAGTCATTCCAACTAGTTATACGAATTCCCGATTCGAGTGTAACATACTGTAGATAAGATATTCATTACTATTCTAAAAGATTACGGTTCGATTTTTTAAGTTATTTGATTTATTGATTTGACTTTCAATAAATTCATTTGTGATAGTTGAACGACACATTCGAAAACTAAAGCACACTCAAAAGTGCTTCCGCCACCAGGACACAGGACGAGAGCTCTATTAAAAGTAGAGGTTCAAACTATCCACCTTAAAGATAATTTATAATAATAAATCACATTGAACTATGTTTGAGCATACGTGAAAGAGGAAATGTCATTACTACTGAAAATTTTGCACAAATTACTGCTTTTCGCCTATTCTTTTCTTTACCTTAATTCATTATGTTCATTGTCGCCGCCGCTACATCTCGCCCAGAAATCTTCTATCAGTGCGAGGTGCATTTCAAAAACCGTTGAACCGATTGATCCAAACCGAACCGAGCTGCTTCTTTTGGGTTCGGCATGAGCCGATTTCCATCACAACCGGAAACCCTGAGTGGGTAATTCTGTTTGCTCGTGGTTGACTCCCTTTCGAATCTGGGAGTGTAGGCGGCAGAGGAATACCAGTGCGACAGCGCGTAGTAGTAGTAGTCAGAGAAGAACAGTGGCAGAATTTTGTGCCACAAAATAGCGCTGTAGATTCGGTATGTGGCTTCGTGGTTTCCAAAGAATTGGACATGCGGATGGAGGTGGAGGTTCTGCTGGCCTTGTTTTCAGCACATTTGCGAGGTATTTCTCGAGGAAGCGGGCAGAGAATCTTAGGAAGATCAACCCTAAGTTGACTCCTCAGGAAGCTTCTTTAGTTGCTCAAGATCTCTATGGTGTCGTCAAGCAGCACGGGCCTCTCTCCATTTCCAATGCTTGGATTAAAGCCCAGGTTTCGCCCTCACATTCTGTTATATATAATCGTTTGTATTCTCTCATTTTGAATTCTGATGGTGGTTATGTTATAGAAATTACGTTTGAACTGAATAGATATTTACACGGTACTATTAACTAGTGTGTGCAGAGAGAGACGGCTTATCACCAAGTAAATCATTAAAATAAAGAAAGTTCTAACTAGAAACAGTTAAAACTTATAAACAATATCCAAGCGAAAGGATTTGGGAATAATCAGAGGTTTGGATTTGAGGTAGAAAACAATGAGACAGCAGTAGCTTTAGTAAGAATATCAGCCGTTTCATCTCGAGGTAGAACAAGTCGAACTTTGAGCTCTTTACTCAGAATTTTATCACAAAGAAATGGAAATCCATTTCAATACTTTTGGTGGGAGCATGATAAGGGGTTTAGCAACAACTGAGGTAGCGTTTATATCACATGCTAAATTAGTCATCTAATTTTTCTTTCCAACAAAAGCCAATCGAAAGAATTTGTTCCATAGATGCTAGCCACAACTGAACGCCGCAACGAAGAATGGGAAAATCTCCACCTCACTTTGCTAAAAGCCCTTGATGTATCTGTTTAATACCACCAATACTCAAACCATCTCTGATCTCCCTTTACATGGAGAGCAAAAATATTCCAGCTAAGTAAATTTTTGTTTTGCCACCAGAGATACCTTTCCATATTTCTTTCAATATTCTTACATACTATCAATGGCATTTGAAATAAAGACATGTAGTAAGTTGGGGTATTTGCTAGAACCGCCTTACAATGAGTTAATCGCCACCTCTTGAAAGCTGAAACTGTCCTGTCCATCCAATTTCTTCAAAATCTTCTCTTGAATAGGCTGCCATAAACCCAAGGATCTTGGATTCTCCCCCACAAAAAAATCTTCATATTTTGCCCTTGATTGGAACAAGAGAAATCCTTGAAGCCTCAAAGTATTGATGAAGACTTAGATTTTCCACATCTGAACTTTCTATGTATATCATACTTTAATAATTAATGGAATGGAATTGTCAGAATTGATTGAAGTATTGCCCTTATCCTTGCTTTCGGCTGAGCTTAAAGCTGAAGTTGTCATTTTGTAAAGTAGGCCCTCTGTCTTCCTCTTCATTAAAGAGGTTGTGTAATTCTTCATTAAAAACATATTCTGATAAATCCTCATTTAAATACTACTGACACTGACACTTAAATCTTCATCTTCTTCAGAAAGAAACAAATTCCCAGTACGTTGATTCAATAAATCTCGTGTTGAATTAATTACCCCATTGGAGAGAGAATTTGTTTTTTTTTTTGTTTGACACTCTCTTTACCTTCATTTTTCTTAAATGAAAGTTGGTTTAGCGAAAAAGGAAAAAGAATCACTACAATGGGCATGGCATTTCAGCTTAGTTAGTAAAGCAAATCAGCCTCTGAAATATGTCTTTTTTAGATAAGAGGCATAGAATATATTAAAAATACTCCAAGAGAGGGGGAATAGCCTCTGCAATATGATTGTGCTTCTTCTCAACGGGTTAGTACAGTCAAATCAGTGTTTGTTTTTCCTCTCAACCTTTATATTAGTCAAATCAGTCTGTAACAATCCTTAGCTAACACCCAGAAGAGTACTTTCCCCAGGTATCAGCATCCTAGATGGACACCAGATATGAACCCTTTTTCTGCCAAGCAAATTAGTTACAAAAGCCACACCTACATCATGCGTCCTACTTCCTAGTTTCCCTTAATTATCTTTCTGCGATACCTACAAAGGCCGCACACCCAGAAGGGGATATGCGTAGGTCCCCAAATATCAGTACGTTCTACTTCAAGAGGATAAATGGATGAGTGAGGGGGTGAGTTGGAAAAGATAGTATCTTTTTTAACTGAATAATCAAGAGACAAGGTCAAGGCTTTCTTAACTATTCTGAAAGGGGTGTCCCAATTGTAAGTGCCCTGAGTCAAAATCATTGACGACGCTTGTAGCTTTAACTTTAACTAGATATTTATATTTAAAGACAAATCGACAACTAATAGCAACAGTGGAAGAGTTTTCTTTTAGCAAACCCTTGGTATTGTTGGATGTTTTGAAATCTTATCCAGCCTCTCAAGATTACGTTAGAAAAATTAGGAATTGCAAGGATTGACATAGATAGACTAGAAACTGTGATGCAAGCTGAAAGAATTGGTTATGCTGCTCTTGATGAGCCGCTCACCAATCGCTTGGGGATAACCCTCTAATTCTGTTTGGACCTCGGTTGTGACTTGACAGAAGACTTGATCATTGACAGATTGCTCGTTTCTTTGTCTTTTCTAAAATTTGGCTCTTTGCTACTGCTTTTTCTGTATGGACATGCCCTGATTGCTGGTTGAATACTGAAATCATTCTAATATCAATTTCTATATTTTATTAAAATGGAATCTAGGCCTTGTCTATTGCGTTATTTGAATATAGATACTATAACAAATAATACAATTTAATGCTCTACTTACATAAATAGGAACAATTTGATCTTTCTTGTTTAGAAAAAACAAACGCTGCACAATATTATTGAATCTTGTGATGGATCCCAAGCAACTAGAATGTATTGAAATGTTAAAGGATAGGACTGCAATAATCCCCAGGCCAAGAAACACGGATACAATACAACACGAACACAGGGCACGTCATTTTCTAGAAATTTGGGATAAAGTCCCAAAAGGCAAGGACATGTTTATTAAAAAATATATACTTTTAAATTAAATATATATCATTTTTATAGTAGAAATGAAATTTCAAAATAAATAAGTTTATACATTTTTATGTTTAAAAAATGAGTTTGATGTATTTTGCTCTCAAAATTTATTATTTTTCCTATACTACTATTTATGTCTATCTTTTTAGTACAAAATGTGAGGGTGAGGGGATTTGAACTCACGACCTTCTAGTCGGACATAAGTGCCTTAACCTGCTTGTTCGGATTGACCTATTTATATCTATTTATTATGCCTTACAAGTCTCAGATTGATATTCACTTTGTACAACTAGTATATGACATACATCTATTGGACTAACAAGTATTTGATATGTGTTAAATAAGTGTCAGAGCGTTGGACATGAATATGTTATCCAAATTGAAGTGTTGTGGGTCGGGCTGTTGTATATTTTTTCATTTCTCTCCATAAAAGTTTGGTTTCATATAAAAACAGAAACTATTGGTTTGCATTGTTAATAATACATTCAATAATGGTGGCCACCTACCTAGGATTTAATATCCTACGAGTTACCTTGTCAACTAAATGTAGTAGGGTCAGGCGGTTGACCCGTGATTAGTCGAGGTGCGCGCAAGCTGGCCCGGACACACGGATTCCAAAAAAAAATAATAATAAATAAAAAATAAAAATAATACATTCAATAAATATTGAATTCTATCCAACAATTATGAAAGGATACTATCAAGTAAAAATTTTTAGTTATTGAAAACTATCTAGTAACTTTTACTATTTTTGTAAATTATGAAAATAGTTGCTGCGTACAAAAAGCTCCAATAGAATTTTTTCATTTTCGAAATTGGATCAGTTGAATGCATCAGATAGAAAATGTACACCATTCATCAGTCATGAAAACTTGCGGGTTTGCTGAAATCTTATGCCCTTTCTATGTAATTCCACTTGTTATATCAGGAATGTGGCGTGAGTGGATTGAACAGCAAAACACACATGAAGCTAATGCTGAAATGGATGAGGGGAAGGAAGATGCTGAAGCTTTTGTGTAACCAAGTTGGTTCCAACAAGAAATTTCTGCTTTCTACTCTGCCCGATGATCCTCAGGCAGATCAGTTGAAGAGTTCTTCAGAATTAGGAGTCCAGAGAGAGAAGAGAGTGAAGCCACCAGCAAGGAGAAGAAAGCCATCTAAATAGGATCCTTGCTGATGTTTGTTAGTGTTTGCTTGTATTGATGTGGGCCCACAACATATGGTGAATTTGTGAGTCTCTGCCATCCCTGTTTTTGCCCATATGTGAACTCTTTTTGGTTATATGGAAGTGTTTTCTTTGGATTTGAAGACACATTATGCATTTAAATTCACGGATGATAAAGCATGGACTAGGATGTCTCACTGGACAAGGGGAAAAAGTGAGATCTTCAGAAATAAATGATAATAGTCTGGCTGTGAGTCTGTGACCACCTAATTTAAGTGCATCCGGCTACTTTCAAATATTTAGACTCTTGATTTCGTTTTTAGTGGTATCTTTCTCCAAATTATGATTTATTTCTCGCTATTTTTTTATTAAGTTTTTCATTCTTATCTAGTGCGGTCTAGATAAGATGCTACGCAGGACTCTCAATTGAGATAAGCTATGACTCTCCAACCTACTGAGAAAAACCTTAACGTATCAAGGTCGTACGTCTGGAACAAAAAGGTTCGTCGTACAATTTCGTACATTTGAATTCTTAACTAAATTTTAAAAATAAAAACAAAATTTTGAAAACTACTTTCTTTTTTCCTTCAAAATTTGGCTTAGATATTTAAAACAATTTTTAAAAAGTTGATAACAAGACGGAGGAATACAAAGGTGGAAGTAGTAGTTGTATATTAATTTTAAATAACAAAGTAGTATTTGTAAGCTTCATTTTTTAAAACACGAAAGGTTACAAGGGTATTAATTCGTATTGATAATTTTTTGAAGGGAATACAACAAAGCTAAAGATCCAATGACATGGCTCCAACAACCCATCTTCAAGCATAAAAAACAAAAGTTGGTCTTAGAAGCTATGTTCCCTTTGGAAGCTGGGTTTATGGATCGAGACTATAGTAAAAAATATTTTTATTTCATCGATGAAGTACGTAAGCAAATAAATATTTTATAACAATCTGAATCTAAGCTAGTGGATATATATATATTTTTGTTGACAAAAGGTAAAATATCTATTATCATTTCCAAGGTCGATGATTCAATTTCCATTCCAACCGTTGTTGACTATAAAAAAAAAAAACTAAATAGACAATTTTGGAGAAAATAATATATATAATGAAATTAATGTGACTAGTAATTTAATACATTAATATCTTGACATAACTTGTTTCGATATTTACTATTTGTGAAATTATGAAAAAGTAATTATTATAATTAAAATTGGGCTCAATAATGAGCTTAATGAAAAATGAGTTCCATCAAATTGGGGATTTCTTCGAAGAATGAGTTCCATCGACGTCTCGGATTTGGGCTTCCTGGTTCTCCGTCATCGCGCCTCACTTTCAAATTTGCAGGTAATCGATAGAATCCATGAATTCCATCAGGTTCTGAAGTTACATTAGATTGCGAATCTGAAAGTGCTATTGGTTGCTGTAGCGATTGTACGTTCTGGGCATCGGATTCGTGGAGCCGATGAAGGTTTGTCCGAACCAGTTGCTGGCGAACATGCTTCAGTGAGTTAAATTGTAGTGCAAGATGAAGTACGTGAAGCCGTTGAACATGTTCCGTGATTTATTGACGAGAAATCCCCTCGAACGTGGGCGTTTCCTCGGTTTAGATGTTGGTGATAAGTATGTTGGTTTGGCAGTCTCCGACCCAGATAATTTAATTGCCTCACCTCTTAGGTATTTTGTTTTTCTGTTTTTGGGATTATGTCAGAGATTAGCAGTAATGGGATTGAAGTTGAAGTTAAAAGAATGTGATGAGTATTATTTTTTGTTCGTTGCTGCAGTGTTTTGCTCAGGAAGAAAACAAAGATGCATTTGATGGCTCGGGATTTGCAGAGATTAGTGAGATTCTTTACTCTATTTCTTTGACCCTTCCTATGAAGATTTGTAGAATGTTATTTGATAGTGTTAAATGATATATGATGATTGGCGTAAGATACTAAAACCTTAGGAAGTTTGAATGGTTGTGCCACAAATTTATATTGGGAGAACTTTAATTTGCTCAATTTGCTGCGAGTACCTTTCTACGTCCAAATGAGATTTCTAACTTTACCTTTTATTTTTTTCCTCTCTTTTTTCTGCGACGTGTTGCTGTGCTGCTCTTCTTCCAGCTAATAGCTTCACTATCGTGGGTGCCGTATATTTTTCTTTAATCTTTGATGTATGATAGTGAATTGTCAATGTTATTCTTTCTTGCAACCTTCAGTCATTTTCGCGCTGTGTATGGTTACGGCTGCTTCTGGTCCGTGTATGCAGATTTCTGAACTTTCTCTGGCGGGGTTCATTGTTGGGTACCCTTTTGATAGACAACGACGCAACGCGGATGTGTGTTCTTTATCTCTTTAAAATGGTCATTATTGACTCTCATCTCTACCCGACGTTATAATTATTCTGTGTGTATAGGCTGTGCAAGTGAAGATCTTCATTGATGACCTTTGTAAAACTGGAACACTTGAAGGCGTCAAATATACGTTTTGGGACGAGTGCTTTACATCAAAGGTTAGTGCATCTTGTTGTCAAGGTATTATTTTGGCAAGCCCTTCCTATTAGACGAACACTTTTAGAAATTTTTGGTAATCGAAAAGTAATATGAGATAAAAAAGTGTTTGAAAAAGTATCCTAGACTCATCCTAAGTCAAATAAGTGTGATCAATTTTTGAATGCTCTATCACCTGTCTAAATATGTCTAAATATTACTTTACATTGTATCTAAGAAGCATGGATAAGTACACGAGACACAGATATGGCACGATATGGACACAGTGACACGCTATTTTTTAAAAATCAAATACATGGACATGACAATGACATGTTTATTCAAATGTACAATTTTATTAAGTACATCAAGAAGGAAATTTAAAGTCAATAAATTTATGCATTTTTATGCTAAAAAGAATGATTTTGATGTATTTTGCTCTCAAAATTTGTTATTTTTTCTTATATTACTATTTATGTCTATTTATTATGCTTAACAAGTGTTCAATACGTGCCTAACAAGTATCGGATTCATATTCCTTTGTACAACTAGTGTGTGACACATTTTGAGTATACGTATTTGTGAACAGGACGAATTGCATTTCATTCAACATTGAATATTAAATCTGTGACTTCGTATCTCTATGCACAGAACGTGGAACTACTGATAAAGCCATTGGAACTGCCACCCGTTTTGTCGAAGACAATAGTTGACAAGTTTGCTGCTGTTGGAATACTTCAGGTAACTTTCAATCATCTTCTTCTCTGCGATTTAAGTTTTCGATTATCTTTGATAAGGTTGGCTGGTAAAATGAATCCAGTTTTCTCAATGCTAGAATTGTATCTTAAATTATCAATTAAAGCTTCAAGTTGATTAACGAAAAGGTGGTTTATGTCAGGGTTACCTAGATTATCATAACAGAAGACCAGAATTGTAAGAAGGATAAGAGTAAGAAGTCGACTATTTAATCAGGTACTGGTTTGTCAATGTTGCTGCTTTCTTTTGCACTGAAACTGACTCTGCAAAACCATTGAAAATTCGAAGTTCTACTGAAATTTCTACAGAACCCATTCCCGACTATTGAAGCTTCAAGCTTTCTTTGTCAATGTTGAAGCTTCAAGTTTATCCCATTCCCGACTATTGTTTTACAAAAACACTCTGTGCACTTCCCGCAGAGGGAATGGTGGAACAGTTTATTTTGAAGCTGCGTATCAAAAAAGGGGCGATGGATATACTTTGATATTATCATCTTTTTTATCTTAAACGAGTTAATTATGTGCTCACACGACCCACTAATAAGTTAATGGGGCCTCATTTTTTGGAGTTTTCCTTGTGGGAATGGAAATCTAATTTCTTGTTTCCATCATTTTTTATTTCTAAATTATTAGGGATAATAACAAATTGTTCAATGTAATTTGTCCCTTTTACAAATCATGCTCTTATATTTTAAATTTTGTTTCATTTTTGTCGTTCAGTTTTCATTAAAATCGATAGATTAAATTTCAAGAGATGTGATTTTTTAGGTTTCAGAAATTATTGGTTTGAAACCATTTTGAAATATTTGGGTATGATTTAGAGGTGTAATTTGTGACCATCCCAAGATATTATTCGACGTATTTATGATTGGAAGTCGGAGCTTTGTTCCCCTACATCCAGGAGCACCCATGCCTGCCTCAAGGTCCGGGAGACATCAAGGATTTTTTGTATTAAGCTCATAAGAAGGTTTGAATTTGAGACCTCTAAACAAGGATGACTAAGAGACTCCAAGCCATTGTCAATTGGGCTGCTCCTTGAGGCGAGTTTTAAGTAGTATAAAAATTTCGTTGACAAATATTTTCATATGTTTATGGGTTCGACATCGACATGAGTGAATTGACGTTTTCTTTGTATTGACAAAATTGATAAAATATTTGAAAGTGTATTAATAGATATCATTAATATAGACATAATATTAATATTAATAATTTTTAATTTATTTAAAATTGGTAAGATATTTTAATTTAAATATTTGTTATGAGTTTATTTTTTCCATAATTTCTTTAGAAATATCCATCAACATTAAAATTTTATCGATCCATTGATATTTTTACACAATTGAGACTTTGACATTTCCATCAAAATTAGATGTTAAAACAATTGGACTTGGTTAGTTTGAAATTATAATATGAATAACTTTATATAGACAGTAGAATGTAGTTTTAATATGTTTGTATAATTTAATGGTAATTGACAATCAAAAGATTGTGAGTTCGATTTTCTACCATACATGTACTAAAAAATTTGAGTTAGTTTAGTTAGACTGAAAATTCATATATAATGTAGTCTTTTAAAAAATTTATTTTATCCATGTTGGATTATTAAATAAGAAATGGGTATTTAACGTTTTAGTTTACATAATCTAATAATCCAATATTTTGAAAGCTTATTCTTTTTAGTTAATCACAAATATGAGATGTGTTTTAAACCTACATTCTAGAAGTAAATGTTTTAACTACTAAGTTTATGCCACTCTTGAGAATCTAAACCAATTGTTTGAAGCAGTGAATAAAAAATGCTTATGAATTAGGTGATGTTGTTTAAACATGCTTGTGTTGTTTGAGTTGAAACTAAAATTACTTGTTTTTTTAGTGATTTTTATTTTTCGAATCTTCCCACCTTTATATGTTGTATTAAAAGGTGATAATTTTCAATTTACACAAAAACTTCATACTTCAACGAAACTCAAATCGTATAAATGTCAAACCACATCAATTCAATTCCAAAGTTTGGAAACTAAATCTAAAAAAGCTATGGATTTTGTGGCATTGTATTTTCCCATCCATGAGATCCAAGGTGGTGGTTTAAGGAGTGAATATTGAAGGTTAAAACCATACTCGCTTTCTCCTTTCCTTCTCTTTCCCCTCCAAACTCAGCTTTCATTGAAAAAATGGCCATACCAAAACCAAAGGCAGTGTAAAGCTAAACCATCAAAAAGCATTTATTTATAACAGTACAAGGAAAAAGAGCCATAGAGGGCAACAGAGCTGGCTTTAGGCCCAAAGCCCTAAAACCAAAAACCAAAAGAAAAAAAAAAAAGAAGAAAAAGAGAAAAGAAAAAAGGAAAAAAAGAAATACTCTGATAAGTACAACCAATGGATTTGGTAATTTGGTGGACCCCACCCTGTCTCTCCCATTACACTTTTTTCCCTCTTCTTCAAGCCTAGATACTTACACCTCCTTCCCCCCCATCTGACTATTTTGTAATAATAAAAATAATAAATAAAAAAAACCGATAAAGACAATGCCTTTACTCTCTCTTCTCTTCTCTGCATAATTGCACAGTTCACTCACACTTGTACTGTTGTACACATAGGCATATTCAACTTTAATTCAAAAGCTCAAAATTTTCTATTCATTTTCCTCCCATTCCACCCCTCCCCCCCTTTGTCTTTTCTTTGTTTCCCTTTTCTCTCTTCTTTTCCACCCCTCCTGCATTTTCCTTGTCAAAACCCTAGATTTTGAATCTAGGGTTTGATTTTTCTCTCTCTGTCTTCTGCCTCTGATTCCAGGCCTTGTTTAAGCTCCTCTCTTTTTGCTCTAATGTCTAGTCTGCCTTCTAATTTTCCTGCATTTCTCATGAGTGGTTCTTGTTGGGGGTGGAACCCATTTAAGTTTCAGCTCCATTTTTAGCTTTTTTTCCCCTTCCCCTTTCTATTTTCTACTCTTTTTTTGTTTTTGTTTTTGTTTTTGTCACTCTAGTTAAAATTTAGTTATGGGTCTTGCACTTCTCCATCCCTTGTAAAACCCCTGTTAAACCCTTTTTGATTCATTTGTAAGTGTTTTTGGAAGAGGGCTAAAAGGGGTTCCTTTTTTTCCCCTTCTGTTTCTTCTCTTCGTCTAGAAGTTCGAAAATTTCGACATTTTTCTTCACGTGTTCTCTTCAACTCCTGACGAGAATACCAAAATGCCTGCTCGGGCTTGAACGTTTTACTGGAATTCTACACTCTTTCTGTTATGGTTGAAGATTTGGGTTAGAAATTTTCTGAAAACACTGTTGAAGAAAGCATTTTCTTGGTTGTTAAAGAGATACAAGCATTTTTTCAGTGAGGCCATTCTTGCAAGTAAATGAATGGATGGGAGGGAAGGCATGGCATTGTCTGGTGGCTCAGCTTCTTACTACATACACAGGGGAGGAGGCGTCGGAGGGTCGGGATCAGGGCTTCCGAATGCTGGATCGCACGCCTCCCCTGTATTCCGGCCAATGGCCAACCAGGGCGTTTTGGCTCACTCAAATCTTAGAGGTAACTCAGTTGGATCAACGTATACAATTGAGCCCTCACATTCAAATTATCTCCGTGGGATGAGTATCAATGTCTCAGCTGGAGTTAACTCTGGTGAACCTATAAAGAAGAAGAGAGGGAGGCCCCGGAAGTATGCTCCAGACGGGCAGGTCTCATTGGGTCTGTCGCCCATGTCTGCTGGTTCAAAGCTCACTCCAGGTTCGAATTCGTCAACCCCGAGACGACGAAGAGGGCGGCCTCCGGGTTCTGGAAGGAAACAACAATTAGCTCTCCTTGGTAAATTTTACTTTTTTTTGGTTATGGTTTCAATGTGCATGTTTGAGTTACCAGTAAAGGATTGTATCTGTCATATCTTGAGATCTGTTTAAAACAAGTCATCATGCATTGTTGGTTTTAATTTTATTGGTCAGCTTAAGCTTTAGATTTTCCCTTAAACAAGTTGTCATGTGAGGAGAAGGTCATGGCCATGATTATTAACTTCAGTTGAGCTATCTAACATGCATTTGTTTAAGTCATGATGGAAAAGGTAGATCTGTTTGATAACAATTTTGTTTTCCGTTTTCTAATTTTTGAATTTATGCTTGCTTACAATTTATTTAGTAAGTTTTTCTCTTATCTTAGAAACATATTTGAATTCTTGGTCACGTTTCGAAAACCACTTTTCTTAGTTTGTAAAATTGGGCTTAGTTGTAAAAATATTCTAAAAAAATAGATAACAATCATTGAAGCTGAAGCACATATAGATGGAAGCAGGGTTTTTAAATTTAATTTTAAAAAATTAAAAACGATATACAAAATTATTATTAAACGGGCATTCAAATTCTTATGTTGCCTTTTCTAATGTTGAGGTTTATGGAGTTTGGTGAAATATGCATTACTGTGCTTACATTCTGTATATGGATGTTATTTGTCTTTTCTCAGGTGAGTGGATGAACAGTTCAGCTGGACTAGCTTTTGCCCCACATGTCATTCATGTTGGAGCTGGAGAAGTAAGTATGCTATGAGCTTTTAATTTTTTGAACAACTAATTTCAGGTGCATTATGAGTTCAGCGATTGCCTGTTTTTTAGAACATTTCACTTGTAAATATGATCCTGAGGAATTAGTCAATCTGATTCGTAATGTCATAGTTTCAAGTGATCTTTTGTTAGTTTGGTGTATCTTTTAATTTAAGTACTTCTTAATTTATTTATTTGTAATCATCTCTCGAGTGCTTAAACTACAAGTGTGTCAATCACTTTAAACTAACTTTTTGGGTAATTGTCTTTAAAGTATTTCTTCAAAAATAGATTTTAAAGCCATTCAGATTTTTAAAATGTTTTTTATTTATTAGCAAACATTTTGGAATTTTGACCAACACCCTTAGTTTTCTAAAACCACTTAGGAAATTAAACTAAACATGCTCTAAATTGTAATTCTTTCAAAGGTGCTGGTAGGAAAGGTAGTTTTATTTGAAAAATGATTTTTTTCAAAAGTCATCCCAAAGACATTATTAGTTTGAATTCCTTCAAAGATGGAGCCATGAAGATAGCTGAAAGTGGCTATTATATCATATAAAGGTAAAACCTTATTATAACCATGATGGATGGAATGAGTTCAAACTATAGTGGCCACCTATCTAAAATTTAATATCGTACTAGTTTCCTTGACAACAAAACATAGTAGAATTAGATGATTGTTTGGTGAGATTAGTTGAGGTACGTGTAAGTTGACCAAATAGTACCTCGGGAAAAAATAACTTATTTTTGTTACTTTGGTATCTTGAGGTTGTGATCTTTACAGGTGGGGGAATACTTCAGCATATATCTAAATTTCTCTTCTTCTTTTTTCCCACTCCCCATGCCAAGAAAGAAAGAAAAAACCCCAAACATATTTGAATTGATATCTTTGTTTGCAGGACATTGTAGCAAAAGTATTGTCATTCGCGCAGCAGAGACCAAGGGCTGTTTGTGTCCTGTCAGGCCATGGTACTGTTTCTTCTGTAACACTGCGTCAGCCTGCATCTACTGGCGTGAGCGTCACATATGAGGTTGAAGAATTATCATATTTTGTTTTCATATATTCTCTACATAAAAAATTTACATCACTTTGATTTCCCTGTTTCTCTGTTAGTAGAAAATCTACAAATTCTTGAGAAATTTCATGGTAGTTTTGTGATGGATCTTCTGTCAACCATGGACTTGATGACTCAAGTTGTGTTTGGAAAGCTTCAACGAGAATGATTTCTTTTCTCAAAGAAAATGTAACACTACATAGGTCATCCTTTAGATACTTCAATCTTTTTTCAATGGTCCAGAAGTGAAAACAGACTTACCGCACTTCTTTTGTGTAGGCTATGTCTAGTCTAGTAGATCAACTTCCACAAAGTTTTGATATTGTTATCAACTACCCTATAATAAGACAGATAAACTCACATTGAGGTAAATCCCCATAAAATAATGCAGAGAAATTGAAATTTCTGCCTTGAGAGCACATACAAATTAGACCTTGATTTCTACCTTGGACCATATGAATGGTATTTGAAAACCTTTTTCACTAGTTCCATTTGTTTGTCATTCTCCAAGGATTCTTTCAAGCCTTAAACTTCTTAAATGCACCAACCTTAACCTTGTAGTCTCTTCTATCTCCCTGTTTTGTAGTTATTTGCTATAAAAAAAAAGAAATCTGACTTGATTTACCTCATTACTCCCAAAGTCCAAAAGATGTAAATCTTATGTGAGACCAAGTGCATACTTTTTAGATAAATCTTTATTCAAATTAATATGAGCCCATGTGTTGTGGCTACCCTCCTGACACCAAAAAGAGGGAAAAGACGTCGTAGAGAATGTGCATAGATGGTGGTGTAAACTTTCATGTTTTAGGTTCTGTTGTGCTCGGCTGTTGTGCATGTTAGATCACTTTAAATGGTCAAAAATATTTTACAGCATAGATCTATGGAGCAAGTATGATAGAGTTAGAATATGATCGGGTCAAATGGGCAACAACCTTAAAACAAAGGAACACATTTTCTAATGGATGGTTATGCTTTGTGCAAACTTTCATCTTGATTGGAGGAATGAAAGTACAGAACTAAAGTAAATGAGCCGTACAAAAAAAAAGGTCTAGGATACCTAAAACGATAACTCAAAGCTTACTGGAGTAAGCTTCGGTTGTTAACCATAACAACAAAGTATATTACAAAAAGAATTAGTCGCAAGGTTCTTATAGAAGTATTGAGATGAGTCAAACTCCGATGACATTGCTACATTTGTATAAACCTCCCTTCCTCATTTCTCTCAAACCAACTGTTCCGTAATACAACCAATGATTTCGCCTACAAAGTAATTCCTCCATCTCTAAAAGATTGCGAATTAAGAAGCACTATTGTTTGACAATTGTGGTCGACCTTGAACGCCTGCAATAATTGCTCCACATCTTTGGGTTGAAAGGAGTCCTCGAAGGAGTGAGCCTTGTAAAGAAGTCACCATTGTTGCCAAAGACACAAGGAATAGATTTGGATAAAGTTAATGGTGATATTCTCTCCAGGGCAACCAACCAAGAGAAAAGGGGCCTTTGTGATTTTGGCTTTCCTTTTTGTTGGACTGTTTTTTTTATGCCCTTTTGTATTCTTTCATACATTGAAAGTAGGTTTTCTGTTACAAAAAAAAAAAAGGAATGTGACCTTTGTGATTTTGGCTTTTAGAACTTTGAGAGGAAAGGAGATTTTTGTTGAGTGGAATGAAGTACAAGGATTCAAAAGAGGGCTTTAGGTTTTTAGAAAGAGATGTATGAGGCAGCTCACTTATGGTTTGGGAGACATGTCGGAGACATGCCCTAACACAGGAACTTAGATCCACACTCATTTAATAGCCCGTCATCAATAAGAAGCTAGGAATTTGGTGGCGAATTGCAATTTGTTAAATTCTTCAACAACAACTTATTGCAAACCACGTAGAATGGCCAAGGTTGGCTAGCTTCCTACTTTCTTCTCCTTCTTCATCGTTGACACTTCTCATAACATTTTTACTTCTTAGCTGCCTCTAATTGATCAGGAAGAAATTTGTAACCAGTAACTAGTTTCACTACCGAATTAAACTCTTCAACCTTTGTTTCGGCACTTTGTTGTTTATTTTGATGATGTATTATCAATCTATAAGAGCAACATTGACAAATTTAAACAACCCTTAAAAGGAAAATTTTCATGTTCTCCTGTAAAATCAATAATTTCTTGATTTTAAGAGATAGTGCCACTCAACTCCTCTTTTCTTGTCTTTGTAGTTAGTAGTGAAGGCACTAAAGTAGATAATAGAAAAATTGAGGCAATTATGTATTGGGATATGCCAAGAGAAGTGCTACGTGACACAAAATATCATTAACCAAGAAATGTATTGGCTGGTGAGAGCTCCAAGACTGTGGAAGCATTAATCAAGTTGTAAGGATTTGGTTTGCTTACTAACCATCAATCATGGAGGTTTTTAAACTTCTTTTTTATTCTAAAAAAAAGATGGGTAGATTCATTGCTTTGTTTTTTTTTCCCTAAATCAAACATAAATCTAGTATCGCTTTTAGAGTTCAACCACCTGGATAAAACCATCAATCTTTGGATGGTAATTGTTTGAATTGTCTAATATCTAGTACTATTAAGTACTTGCATAGTGCTAAATTCTTTCAGTTTGATTACCTACGTCATTTGTTACTTTATGTGGAGTGATTACTTCTTGGTGCCTGAGGGTAGGAGGAAAAGACCGATACTTATATAGTAGCCTGTTCGTAGGCTGACCATGATGTTGACAGGAATGTGGACAGCAAATGCGGTTTCCATATGTGCTGTAGTCAAGCCTACTTAGTAGAGTAGAGTTAGTTATACAGTAAATAAAAGAAATGTTTGGTACATATTCAACCCTTTTTTTTAATGAGAAACCGAGCTTTCATCAAGAAAAAATGAAATATACCAGCGGCATACGTAAAACAAGCCCAACAAAAAGGGAGACCCCCTCCAAGAAGGGATCCCATCCGAAATGAAAGAATATACACGTCCAACCTTGTTGGTGAGACCCATTTTGTAAGTAACAGGTCAAACGAGTAATCCGTTAGGGAGGCAAGGGGATGTTTAGCAATTAGGATATAATCTCCATTACTCCTTCGATGATCACAATTATCTTGGAAAAGAAGGCTGTAGTTACCCATTGGGCTTAGGAACTGTTCCTATTAATGCTAAAAGTTGCATACTTCCTCCGAATTGAAAGTTATCTCTAACCGCGATAGGCCTTCTTCCTCTTTTTGTCAGACTTGTTTTTTTGTAAGCCCATTGTATACTCTTTCATTTTCTCTCCGTGAAAACTCGGTTTCTTAGATGTGTGATTTGGCAACAAGATGACATCCATCACCAACCTTATTCAGAATATAATTAAATAAATAAAAGTAGAAAACTTATTAACACATCTGATTATAGCTTTATACAACCATAAAGCAATGTCGTTCAAAATAATGGATTCTGGTAAGATTAGATAAATAACAATGCTATTTTCCTTGTTATGAAACATGTTTGGATTTTGCAGGGTCATTTCCAGATATTGTGCTTGTCTGGTTCTTACTTGGTGGCTGAAGATGGCGGTCCTCGAAGTAGGACAGGTGGTATTAGTGTTTCCCTCTCTAGTCCCGATGGTCATGTCGTCGGTGGTGGTGTTGCTGTTCTTACAGCAGCTGGCCCTGTTCAGGTACTTCATCCCATTTAATTATTAAGGCATGTTACAACCAACTGGACTATATGTTAATTTGGCTTGATAATAATTTGCATCTGTAATGATGAAGCTTTCAAGGAATTTATTTTCCGAACTTATTCTCTTGCAGGTAGTTGTGTGTAGTTTTGTTTATGGTGCAAAGATCAAGAACAAGCAAGTGGGTGGTCCGAGAAGCAACGATGGTTCCGAAACTGAGCACCACGATAATTTGGTTTCACCCTCCAGTGCCCCATCCGCGCAAACCTACAATCCATCTGCAATAGGTGTTTGGCCTGGTTCCCGTTCGGTCGACGTGAGAAACCCCCACACTGGAATTGACTTGACGCGGGGATGATATGATATGTTGCAACAGACACATGTTGAGATTTTGTACATATGTGTTGTTGTAAATGAACCAAAACTTTGTGAGACCTGTACCTTTTTACTGAGTCCGAGTTCTTTTCGCAGCGGTTAACAGATTGATGCTAACATATGGTATATGTAGCAAGAGGCTTCATTTCGAGTTTCTCAAGTCAATGTTGATTTTATTGGACAGAATTTCTGGTTTTGGAGGGTCAGATTGCTTGGCAGCTGTAGCAGGAGGAAGAGAAGGATGTTCATCTTCGAGCAGGAATTTTCCATCTAATGAAATATCTGGCGAGCCGAAGGACATTTTATGTTGTGTTCTAAGATGTAATTTTAAGATATATATAAGAATATCTCATTTCAATTTCCTTTTCCAATGGCTTCTACTTGAGATGAAAAGGATTATATATGGCGGTGTTGGTTAGAATCAGAACTGGAATGGAATAGGAATTAGAGTTTTGTTCAGACACTTGTACTTTTATCCATTCAATATGTTTATGCAGAATTTTATAGATTACAGATCAATCATGTATTATGCTTAATAATATATAACTATAACTATATATATATATATATATATATATATATCATGTATCTTACTTGGAATTACAGCCTTGCCAACCGTTCACTATGAGTTTCGACTGAGGGATCAACAATGTTATACAACTAGCATAAAACTCGTTATGTATGCAGCGAGATCAACAGCCATTGAGCGTCATTTCAGGGAGGCTGCAAATGATGCATACATAAATAGGAACTAGAATTTGAGCGAATCTTACTTGGAACTACAGCCCTGCCAACCGTTCACTACGAGTTTTCAACACAGGGATCAACAATGTTATACAACTAGCATAAAACCCGTTATGTATGCAGTGAGATCAACAGCAATCGAGCGTCATTTCAGGGAGGCAGCAAATGATGCAGACAGAAATAGGAACTAGAATTTTGCTCAAACACGTATGTTTTATGTTTCAGCTCATGAGATCCCCAACAGCTTCTTGATATCATACTGCAGCAGAAATCGGGAGGTTAAAATAGTTTAAGGACGTAAAAACAAAAAGTGAGATAGGATGCAAAGGAATAATTATTCGACGAGGCCATCGTAATGTCAAATGTGACTAATAACAGTTGGATGTAGAGATGAAAATCTCCCACACATCCAGCCCTGTTGAATCATTAAGCACATTGTTTCGACCCTTAAATAATTTTTCGAAGACAAGACTTTGGAGACTTTGGTGTACAGAAAATTGTCAGTAGCAGGTTTACCTCAATGCTGAGGGGTGATGTTGTGGGGTAATAACGATCAACTATTTGCCCATCCTTGTTAACAAGAAACTTCGCAAAATTCCACTGAATATCGTCCCCAAATATGCCCCATTTCCCCAGTTTTAAAAACTTGTAGAGGGGGGCAGCATTATTCCCATTAACTTCAATCTAATAGAAAGATCATAAGATATTTTCAATCCTTAAAAAGGGAACATAGGTAAGATATATATAGAGGTTAAATTAGTAAAAATACTTCTATCCCTTCAAAAGTTTCAATACTACCTTGACCTTTTATAAAGGTTTCAAAAATACTTTTTGAATATGGAACGACGTGACAATTAATGTAGAAACTTGTTTGAATTAAGTGTGAAAAGAGAAGAGCCGTGGGTGAAGCTATCATTTTTAAAAGAGAGATTAAGACAAAATTGGGATGTCAATTGTCATATTATTGTCACGTCGTTTTAGATTTTGCCATGACAACTTTTCGTTCAAAATATTATAAGATATTTGCTCAAAGATATTTTTAAACGTTTATGAAACATCAATTGAAACATTTGAAAAGATAGGGTTTCAAACAAATGGCAAGGTTCTAACGGAATTTATAATTTATTCAATATATATACATTCACCACACTTGCCTTGTCAAAAATTGGAAATTCTGATTTGAAACGACTGCAGACGAAGTCTTTGATCTCCTCGTTACTTCCAGGTTCCTCATCGCCAAACTGATTACATGGAAATGCCAGAATATCCAGACCTGCAGTATCCTCAGTCAAAATTAAAAACAAACAATTAGAAACCATAATTCTTGAGCATTATTTTGTGCAGAGAGAGAACCCGTTCTGACAGAAGTAGACAATAAGCTTTGTTGAACAGCTTATATCAAGTGTCGTTTCTTTCATCACGTTGCAGCTCTCCCTCAGTTAAACAATAAAAAGGAAAGGTGTAGGATTCTACAGAGAGAACTCGCTTCAGTAGAAGGAATAAGAACTAAAGCAGCCAAGAATGTACTATATAAATGATGCATATTACTTTCAACATGAGGATGGTAAGATAGGAAGGATTCAAGAAAAAAACACCTTGTTCCTTGTATTTCTCGTATATTTGGTTCAACTCCAAATAATTCGAATTTGTCATTCCACTGTTGCAAGGGAAAATAAAAGAATAGCAAACACTCAATATCATCAGGGAAAAACTCGTAAACTATAGAAGCAACCAAAAGTCAATCACCCACATTAAATTTCAACTATGTTACTCTTTGTAATGCCCAAACCAAGAGGAAAAAAAGTTTAAATCTTATTTTGACTGCGACACCATTAGCTTTTGTCTATTTTAGCCTCTATACTTTCAAAACAACTAGTTTTGTTTATGCACTTTAAGCTTTAGTCTACTTTACTCATTCCACTCTCAAAAAATCCATTATGATTTATTTGTTTTATTTTTAATAACCTTTTTTGCAATCACAATTTTAGCACTAACATTGCACTCTGATAAATTTTTTGAAATATTGGTGTAGTTTTGTAGTAAGGGTTTTCGTTGTGCATTTGCAAACAAGGACCATATCGGTCACTTTTTCTTTAAAAGTAAAGAGACCAACATAGACCTTAAAAGTATAGGAGAAAAAAAAAGGATAAAAGCTAAAAATCCACATACCAAAATAGACAAAATTCGAAGCTACAAATACCAAAATAAGATTTAAACCAAATGAAGCATTTCAAATTAAAAGTTATATTGCAAATATCGGAAGTGAAAGAAATTGGAAAGTACCATTTGGAAGCAACATTGACAATGAGCAAGACTTTACCCTTATACATGCTAAGGTTGACACCATTTCCCTTTGCATCCTGCAAACCAGAGAAAATACTCAAATGGCACATGTATTGAAGCCTTACCAGTAAAAGATTTCTGAAATTCATGGCTAACATCAAAAGCAGTAAAAAAATGTTGTCCTACGAAGAAACCAAGATGGTGAAGAAGCTGGACTCGATATACATACAAACTGAAAGAAATCAAAAGGACAATTAACATCCAATTCAGAAGATGTAATTAAAAGATGAAAAAACCCCTCTTCATTCATACAGAACGACAATCCACAAATTGAGCCCTGGTTTTTACCATAATTCCCACTCAATCTCCTTGATTCTTCGTTAATCAGGTAAAACATCAGAATCAGAAACTAAACAATAAGCCCATAATCCCCAGCGTCTGAATCTCTCGTCGTTTATAAATTTAAGCTCGCAAAGCAACTCAGGACACCATTTCAGTCCAGACAAATTCAGAAGCTTTTTATTTGAATACACTACGAATTCATGCGAAAATACAAAGAAATTTTCTCCGAACATTCCAACAATAAGCACAGAAAGGGAGGGAAAATGATGCAGAAACACACAAAAATTTGAAGAAATAGAAAAGAAGAACGAACTTTCACAGTGAAGTCGTAAATGGATTGTGGGTGATTTGAAGGTTGGGTAGCCATCGTAAGATGAAAGATGAAACTCCGCGAGCAGCACAACAGAGCTTCAAACAAAAGCAAGGAACAAAATATATCATTGCTGCTTAAATTTTTAAATATTTTATTATATTATTTTGTAAAAAGATATTTTAGTCGTTCTCGTTTATTTTTTAAATAAATTATTTAGCTGAAACTTGAGCATATATATTTTTAGTTACCAGAGTAGATTAGGTGTTTGACTATTTAAAAAAAAACATTTTTCAATACAAAGTTTTAAGAATTAAAAACAAAATATGTAATTATGAAGAATCAAATTAAAATAATTGTGAGAGTTTGGGAGCAATAGGAAGAATGAAGTTTGCCCCAAGATAAACTTTAAATACTTCCATTGATCAGATATGCTAGAATATCAAAGTCTAATTTCGTATCGTCCAACGATCTAAGAGCGATCTTATAAGTCAAACTTGTAGGTAAAGATAGATAGACTTTATTAGACCTAAATACAAATTTATTAGATTAACTAAATTTTTGTTTTAGTGGGTCAAGCTTTACTCTTTCAACTCATTGACGACTCTTAAATTACAAGAATAATTTAGGGTATATTGTATAACCTTGAAAACGGTGAATACAAATTTTAATAGTTATTTATCAACGAAGGGTAGCAATTTTTTTATTTGGGAAAAAAAAAGACAGGATGAACCATAATATATGAGTTAAGAGTGGATATAAACTAATAGCAAGCACGAAAGGGAGTTCTTGAACACAAAAATGACTCGACAACTACTAATTGGTGGAGTTGTCAACATAAATGCTTCAAAAATAACAAGATGTCTTACTTGATTTCAATTTGATACTTACAGTTAATTTGAAAACAACTCAATATACTCCACTTATTAAAACATATATCATCGATAAAAAAAATGCTAATCAATTTTAAGTTTTAGCGAAGAATTGGATGATGCAATTAAAAGTAATATATCAAGTAAAAACATATTTTAGGAGACTAAATTGAGTTATAAAAATTAAAACCCAAGTATATCAAGTACAAAGACCGTTTTGAGAGACTAAATTAAAAGTCAAACACGACACAAATTATAGGTACTATTGATAGTTTTGTCAAAATGAAATGAAGGCTAAAGAGTGTCGTAGGTACTAAAATAGTAATTAAGCAAATAAAAAGATAATAGATAGTTTTATTTTTTAAAAAATAAATGAAGACTAAATATGTATTTTAATATATTTTTTTAATCTTTCAGTCACGTATGTCTTAAGAATTAACATTTTTTTCATCTAGTTTTTTACTATTTACATAGAGGAGAGAGAAAAAATAAACAAGAGAGAATTCAGAATTTTTCTATTAAATTTTAAAATTTAAAGATTTCCTCCCTCCATTAGTCAGCAAATTTTAATATGGTTAATTTAGTAAGTATTATATTAGATAAGTCAGCAAATTTTAAAATTGCACATTATGAAGGATTAAATTAAAAAATATTACAATATAAATGATTAAGTTAAAACTCTTCAATGAAAGTAAATTAAAAAAAATCATAATTGCCATTATGACACAGATGTACTGACAGGTAGTAGATTAAATATAGAAAGAAGGACCTATGCCCGGTAGTAGATTAAATATAGAAAGAAGGGCCTATGCCTAATCCGTCTTTCATGATAAATCTATTAAAACTTTTTCAATCAAATATATCTTTAAAACAATTTAAACTATCGTGTGTATCGTAAATCACCTAAATAAGATATCTATCTTTGATCAAATGTTCACCATTTTCATGAGATAAAAACATCCATCTTCAATCAAAAAAGCAATTTCCACTAAATAAGGTAGTAAACCACCTGAATAAGATATCTATTTTTGATCAAATGATCACAATTTTTCCGAGATAAAACATCCTCTCCAATCAAAAAATCAATTCCCTCCCCACTGACTAAGAGACCTATCTCCAATAAAAAAAACCTAAAAAAATCATCATTTCCACCTAATAAGATACCCATCTCCAATCATTGGATTTGTACGAAGAGTGTTGTACCTAAAATACAACTATGTATTGCAGTATCGGCATGTGCAAAGTTTGACCAGCATTAAAATCCCATCAAGTTTAAATTAAATAATAAATCTTCCCTAAATATAAAAAGACACCAACAAATCCGAGCCCACATGAAAAAATCTAATAAAATAATAAAAAAAACTCATAATTTTTAATACAAAACATGCCATTTGGTACTGCAACACAGAATCAATCATCACGAATAAAAGAAATTTCTTGGTACTTATGGGAACTGACCGAACTCTTCCTGTAAATATGATGATAAAAGGCACTATATATATAATATATATAAATATTTCTTTTTTTTTTTTGACAAAAAACAGTTTTGTGTAAAACCTCTTGTGATATCCATTTAATCAAAATTTTCTTTTCCCAGAAATTACAACAAATTATTTTCATCTTCTCGAAGAATCTACGCAGAAAATTGAATAGAGCAAAAAGCTGACAGCTACAATTGGGATCAATGTCCCCAGACAGATTGTCAACAGTTACATCAAAAGCTCCAGAAATTTATTACATAATTCTCAACTTACAGTCTTATAAATACATGGACCATTCAGAAAACATCACAGCAAATACACAGAGCTTTATTCATATTCATGTCTCTCTAATAACAAGCGAAAGAAACAGCCTCCTTCACGTTTTCAAACTCCCAGCAGCTTCTTCAAATCCTTCTGCAAAATCCACCCAACCCCAGTTCAAATCACGAGTTTAACTTTAACAACAGAGAACATTTTAAAATTTATGGAAGATTTTGAAGTTATTTCTGGATTTTACCTCGATGCTGAGTGGGGAAGTTGTAGGGGCGTAACGGTCGACCACGTTTCCATCTTTGTCCACCAAGAACTTGGAGAAGTTCCACTTTATGCCGTCTCCAAAAAGCCCACCTTTGCTCGACTTCAAGAACTTGTATAGGGGAGCGGCATCGTTTCCATTGACGTCCACCTATTTTTGACAACAAACTTAGCTTTGCAATTGCTTATCATGACAATTTTATAGCCTAAAATCTAGAAAGCCCAGGAAAACCACGACTTTGATCCGTGATTTTCTTCTATCAACCATAAACATCTGGACCAGTCTTTAGTCGACTGTGATAAATGATCAAATGAGAGTACATATATTATTCTATTGATGTTGCAGCTACTAAAGTTTTGAAGGTGTCAAATGTGGTAAACCCAATCATAGCTCAACTGGTTGAGGAAATTGAGGCATATATCTTCGATTGGTCGAACTAGCGAGAAAGCCTTTTTCATAGATCTTACCTTGTCAAAAATGGGATACTCAGCCTTGAAACGGGTGCAAGCAAACTGCACAATCTCCTCATTGGTTCCTGGCTCCTGGGATCCAAATTGGTTGCACGGAAATGCAAGAATCTCAAAACCTATAACAAGGAAACACGCGCAAGTAAATCATAAATTTGAACATTAGATGGGAGAGAAGAAAAGATGAATTAAAGCAGAGGAGGAGAAGAATTGAATGAGGCTTAGAACAAACCGTGGCCCTTGTATTTCTCATACAGTTGACTCAGCTCAGTGTAATTCGAATTAGTCAAGCCACTGCATGGATAATAAACTGAACATTAAAAAAGGTAGAACAATGGCAAAGAGTTCCTAAATCTATAACGACAATCCATATGTATTCACTATTCAGTTTCAATTCTTGGAATCTAACATAAACATACTAGACGATTATGTTCTATATTTGAAGGCCATACCAAAAGTTCCCTAGTTCTGTAATGGCTCGTGAAGGCAAGCCATTTGAAGATATAGAGGAAACAGTTCCTTTCACTTGATTAAGAATGCAACTCAAAGTCATTATCCTACCATCTTTACTAAATAGACAGCTTAACCTATCTATAATAACAAACTTTCATACAAAATTGTAAGATTTCCTTTTTTTTTTTTCTCCCGGGTCAAAAGCCATAGTAAAAGTTGAGACATGGAAGACATTAAAAATGACGGCGTACGCTACCATTGTGAAGCAACATTGACAATCAAGAGGACCTTTCCTTTGTAAATGCTGAGGTCGACATCCTTTCCCTTAGCATCCTGTAAACAGGGGCAGAACCGCAGAAGCCATAAATTAAACCAGAAGTCATGAATTATGGCGCAATGACAAGCAGTTCATATAATTTCAAAACAAATTAGCCACTAAATTGATAACATGCCCAGCAAGCAAATCTAGCAGAGCTTTACTGAAAAAGAGAATTCCCCCAATTTGATTTTCCTGTTAACAAAACATGGTCCAATTGATGCCTGTTGATTCAATAAACCATCAAACGGGTGTGGAAACAGCTGAGTTGGAGGGCAAAGCATAAATAAAAATGTCCAACTAATACTTCAATTGAAGCTACATACTAATTCTCTCAAAGATAACGAAATTTTTCGAAGTTCCAATTAAGCGTACCCGCACACATGATTTGATTGCAATAATCATTACACAAACTATATCTTGCACTTCAAATAAGCTTATCAGCACAAAATTTCCAGGAAAACAAAATAATTTCCTCTTAATTCCATTTTCTTGGGATTTAAAACAAACAAATGGACACCGATCTGCCACGAAAACCAAATCACAAACAGAAAAATGAAAAAAATGAAAAGGAAATCCAACCTTTACGGTGAAGTCATGAACCGACGTCTTGGAGGGAGTGGCCATAGTATGATCCAATCGAATCGTAAACGAGGCAAGACTCGAAGAACCTGAAGTAATCGGGGAAGCGAAACGTGAACACTCCGATTTATGCAGAAGGGTGTGGTTCGAATCAGGTACGATTTGCTGATTGAAAACCAGAGGTGCAACTGAAGATCGAACGCTGAAGAAATTTGTTCTGAAGAGAGAGCGAATTGGGACACGGAGCATCGAGGATGCAACAAGATGAAGAAATGGGCCGACATATATAGTGATGCTGGCTGGGCCCATGGGCCTGTTTCACTTGAGAACACGCCTTTGATACGTGGCCTTTTCATCCTCGCACACGATCGGACGTAGCTGGCCAATATCCGGCTTCCTACATTAATGGAAGGTTGAGATCTCTCCATCAAGAGAATATATATATTTTTGTTTCTAGGCGTGATATATATATTTTTTTCCTTTTTTTTTTTTGAGAAAGTCGGCAAAATATATTTTTTAGTTATATATATATAATTATTGGTTAAAATATGGGTGTTCATAAAATCCAATGATGATAAAGGCGTGTACAGTTTGAATTGGATCATAAATTTGTTTGAGTTGGATCACGTTTAAATAAATAAAAATTTTATAGATTAGATTGGTTAAACGATTCACCTCAAATAAATTTTAATAAATCAAACAATTTTAAATTTCAACAATTTGAAGGAATATTTAAAAATTTGGAAAAGAAAAAAAGTGTGAACACGAATTATGTTGATCGCTTACAGCCAACCGAGAGTGTGAAAACGAACGCGCACGTGTGGGATACCGGATTTATTTCCATTATCTTTTTATTACACGCTTTTTTCTCTTGGACAATGTTATTATGTTATTAGGAAATAATATATATCTGTTATAATTGAATTTCAAATTTAATTTTTCTCAAAATAAAAATTGAATATAAAAATGTAATTAATTAATTTTTTCAAGTTGTGTATCTTAAAGAAAAGAGTACATATTTTAAAAACGTTATTAACGTCTTCATAAGTTTTTTTATTATTATAATTTAAAATAGCAATTTTCAATAGGATAATTTTTTTATCAGCAATTCCATAGGTATATCGTTCAATATCAACACGAAGAGTCAATCCACGTTTTCATAGTATTGAAAATAAAATAATTTGATAATAGAAAATTATTGTCAAATTTTTAAAATTTCATTTCATTTTAAAATTAAGTTAGCTTATTTGCTAATTTAAATATTTATTATGAATTTTTTATTTTACACTTTTTAGATATAACATTTTATAGATATTATTTCTATTTTATATTTTCATAAATTTGAGAGTTCATTGATATTCTATATTTATAATTATTATATTAGTTGATAATTAAATTATTATTAAAAATTTAAAAATATTTGTTTATTAAATGATGTTTATGATAACAGTCCTCGGATTATTATTATTATGGATGGAATAAAGTAGCTCATTTTGTTTTTTTGCCTTTTGTTTTGTTCTTTTGTTTTTGTTTTTTTTTTGTTTTTTTGTTTTTTGTTTTTGAAGTGCATGGAGAAAAGAGTGGATAAAATGAAAGGTTCATTTTTCTTTTTCTTTGGAAAAAAAAACAAAATGATTCTTGTTTCCCCACTATTTTTCTTTTACATATATAAATAACTTAAGAATTAAGAATTGAGGAATGCGTTCACATTGAAGGTGGCAGGCTGGGCATAAGAAACAGTCAACAATTTCTAGTTTCTAGAAGCTTTTATTTGTCAAGGATGAGGTGTTGCAATTAGAAGGGTACAGAAATCCGATGACTCGAAAACAGGAAAAATAGATCGATTAATCCAATCCAACTTAGAAGTTATAAATCAATATGAAGCGTTTATAACTATTCTTGTTATGTTAAAGCGAATGTAGCTCAACGGTAATTGATATATATAACTATCTTAATTATGGTGAAACATTTTCGAGATGTTAATGACGTGCTTCTACTTATCTACAATATCTTCTGTTTCGTTCAAGCGGGATCATATCTCCAATCATTGTGACTTCGATTTTCCTACCTCAAATTTTGTACTAAAAAAAACTATTTTTATTCTCATTTTTTAGAAATGTTTAAAAAAATCGTGTAGAACTTTTAGAACAATAAAATCAAGTTTATTGTTCCATTCTTTTTATTTTCAATTTTTTTAAAACATAAATAAAAATTTTATATCATCACTATTTACTTATAAAAGTCAAAATAAATGGTTAAAAAATAAAATATAAATTTAATTTTCGTATGAAACTTTTATTTTTTTTTAAATTTAAAAACTTTAAAAAACAAGAAATAATAAATCGTTACCAAACATGTTCATGTACATATTTTTTTCAATAAAAAATAATAACAAGAAATAAAGAATTACTTAATGTAATTATTTTCTTTCTTGGATTGAAAAAATAAAACAAAAACGTTACCACCTTTAACGGTTTCTTTATAGGTTAGTATTTTAAATCTCAAAAAAAAATATATATATATATATATATATATATATAAATAGACATTTTGGAGGGAACAACTCAGTTTTTGTCAATTACGTTTGCATTTCTACATTATCAATGAACATTTAACAAAGATTTGCTTGTCAATTACTTCATATTGAAAAATATACCTCATTCAACCACTATTCCATTCATCTGAGTCTCAACTTCCTCCAGCCTTTTGGGTCTCTGGTACTTCTTCAACATCAAAGAACTGCATACCACACTTACAGAAGAGGCTGCCATGGCTGCTCCGGCAACCCACGGCGGCAACCGAAACCGAGTCGACGGGAAGAGGACGCCCGCGGCGATTGGAATGGCGAGAAGATTATAACCGAGAGCCCAAATGTAATTCAAGCGGATTCTAGCAAAGGTCTTTCTGGAAAGATGAATTGCAGTTATAACATCCTGTAAGTCACTTTTTATTAGAACAATGTCTGCTGCCTCAATGGCGATGTCGGTACCAGCTCCGATCGCCATCCCGACATCCGCTGCCACTAGGGCGGGCGAGTCGTTGATCCCATCCCCCACCATCGCCACCGTGTGCCCCGTCGCCTGATCATGTCAAAACCAAAGTCTCTAGTTTGTCATTTGGTTTATGCAAAGTTGTAAGATCTTTAGTCCCCTAGGTCTTGCTAAATGTATAATGTATGGTTTAAATTATAACTATATATATCTAGCTCTACTTTCATTTTTCATTGATTTTTCTTTTATATAAATAATATGACTTTTTTTTAATTGATTAGCAGTAGCGTCTTCTAGGTTAAATTGAGTTTGAAATACATTTTCACAATCAGCATTCAGGTCTGTAAAATTTATTCAACACAAATAATCCTTATTAAATAATGAACAAAATTAAATCCAACTATAATATATTTGAGTTATATCAATTTGAGTTATTCAGATCACTCGTTCAAAATATTGTATAATAATAAAAGGGTGAATATTAATATATTATATTTTTTAACATTGAACCTACGACAATAAGTCAATGTTTATTTATGCTGTGAAAACTTATATTAAAAAAAATATTTATAATTTATGGTAAATAGAATAAATAGTTTTAGAATTAATAATAAATTCAGGTTGATTTGGTTTGACTCACGTTTATTTTAGATAAACTCTTGAACCAACCTAACTCAAAGAGTTTTCATTTATTTGAATCCAACTCAATCCAACACAATTTTATAACTCAACTTAGACCGTATGGGTTGGATTGGGATTATCGAATTCTTCAGATCATCAAATTCTTCAGATGATCGTATTTTTTTTTAACATCCCTAATTAACAATTTTGTTTAGTATAAACTTTTAATTGATTTTAGATCACTAAAAGTGTTTAAAAAGAATCTACAGAATTTAGTAACAAATAACAAGCATTTCAAAATACTTTTTTTGGAAGAAATATTTGAGTCTTGATTAACTAAAAAGAGGCTTTAAAATAACAAGCAAGACTCACTCCAGCCAAAACGAGCATGACTCAACGTTAAGTGACATATATCTTCAATCAAGAGGTTGTGAATTCAATCGTCTATACCTACATGTTCTACTTAAAAAAAGAAACTAACTAAGACTCACTTCAAAGTACGTAGTTAAAGTATATAGTTAAAGAAAAAACCATATTAGTTATGCGCAGAATTAGTATTGAATTTTTCTTAATTAAATGCATAATTAAAAACAAGAGTTCAGAGACGAGAAGATTGAGATTACGTACCTGAAGATTCTTCACTTCCTCTGCTTTCTGCTGAGGCTTGGCCTCTGCTATGACTGTTTCAATTCCAACTTCTTTGGCAATGGAATTTGCAGTACCCCAATTGTCCCCTGTTACCATCACGCTCTTCACTTCCATAGACTTGAGAATGGAGATCACTTCTTTGGCACCCGGTTTCAGCGGATCGGACACGGCGATAGCGCCCGCCACCTCCCGATCCACGGCCACCAGAACCGCAGTTTGCGCCATACTTTCTGCGTCCACGAGAAAGCTTTCCGCTTCCCCCGGAATTTCGATGGCATTTTTCATCATCAAGCTCTTGTTTCCAACCATTATTTTCCTGTTCCTTATAGTGGCTTCTACTCCATGGCCAGGAATGGATATGAATTCCTGAGCTTCTGGCCAAATGGTGTTGTTCTGTTCTCCCTTGATTTGCTTGGCATATTCAACAATGGCCTTGGCTACTGGGTGCTCACTGTTCACCTGATAAGGAAACATCAAAGGAAAATCATTCCTCGGAAATTTCGAGGTATCGAAGAACTTTTCGATGGCGACGAACCTCGGTTGCAGCTGTGAGTTCAAGGAGTTCTTCAAGTGCTATAGAGTCCATAAGTTTTGTATTCACAACTACTGGCTTTCCAATTGTTAGAGTTCCAGTCTTGTCAAACACAATGCAGCTCACCTGCAAGAATTATAATGCGAAGAATGTCATTATTTCGACAATCCCCCGTAAATTAGCTCAATAGAAGCACATGATTTTCGGTTCGGGTTGTGTCATTGATAAAAAGGGTATGTTCTTGATGGTAGGGAGTTAAGAGAGATGTGATTGTGTATGCACCTTATGCGCGAATTCTAATGCTTGACCACCTTTGATTAGTACTCCCTGAGATGCACCAACACCGGTACCAACCATAACGGCAGTCGGGGTGGCGAGGCCGAGGGCACAAGGACAAGCTATGACCATAACGGAAATCCCAAATTGGAGAGCAAGCTCAAAACTGTCCATTGAAGAAGGCAACCAGGACTTTGGATAGAGGTGCAACTTTCCAGCTAATAACCAGGAAATCCAAGTGAGAAAAGAAAGTGAAATCACCTGCAAAAGTGCATAAAAATGAATATAACGAATGGCTAACAATCAAAATGAAGCAAAAAAACAGTACAAATTTTGGTTTTATACCACTTACCAGAGGCACAAAGTACTTGGAAATTTGGTCTGCAAATTTCTGAATAGGAGCTTTTGCCAACTGGGACGATTCAACGAGTCGAACGATTTGCGCAAGTGAACTCTCTGATCCGACGTGTGTTGCCTTTATATGCAATACCCCGTTCTCATTCACAGTTCCTCCGATCACCTTGTCGCCCGTCCTTTTCGCTACCGGTCTTGCTTCTCCAGTGATCATGCTCTCATTGACATGACTTTCTCCCCATACCACAAGACCATCAGAAGCTACTTTTGCCCCTGGAGTAACCTTGACAACATCATTCTTTTGAATCAACTCACTTCTGATTTCCGCTTCGCCGATCACGTTCCCATGGCCATCCGAAGTCAAGAGCGTCGCCATCTCTGGAGCCAAGTGCTTAAGCTTCGCAATGGCCTCAGAGGTCTTTCCCTTTGCCAAAACCTCCAAATACTTGCCAAGTAGAATGAATGTTATCAACATTGAACTAGTCTCAAAGAAATCTGTTCCATTGAAAGCAGGGGATGTAGCTGCTCTCAACACAATGTAGACTGAATAAAAGTAAGCTGCATTTGTCCCCAAAGTAATCAATACATCCATATTGGCAAAACCACGGCGTAACGCTTTATACGATCCAACGTAAAATCTCCAGCCGATGATGAACTGCACCGGAGTCGACAAATTCCACCGGATAATCTGCCCCACCGTCATCATATTGACTACTTTGATATCCAAAGTCTGCTTAATTCCAGGTATATACATAAACACCATTGATGTTAAGAAAACAGGAATGGAAAGAGCAGAACTCCACAAGAAGTACTTATAATGCTGCTTAATTTCTTTCTCCTTACGAGTTTCTCGTCTCGCTTCTTCAGAATATATAGTTGTTTCAAAATGCTCGGATTTGATCGACTCGAGCACTTCAATGAAAGTTCTAGGTCCTGTTATGTCAGGTCGGTAAGATATGGTAACTTTGCTCAGTGTCCTATCGATATCAACGTCTTCAACTCCCGGGACCAATTCGAGCGATTCTTTAACTTTTGTTGATGAGTTCTCATTATGCATACCATCAACCTTGAGCTCAATCTTGCTTATGTGATCAGCAATGGTTATGAGTAAGGGCTCAAACCCAATATCTTCTATGGCAATGATGAGCTGAGTGCAGTTAACAACTTTTGGATCATAGTGAACTTCTGCTTCCTCTTTCAAAAGAGCAATGTGAGCCTTTTGTACTCCATACATTGCTTCCAAAACTGACTCTACCATGGAAGAACAAGAAGTGCAGCCCATCCCATTTATTCGGATTCGACATACTTCTCTCGATCGATGATCGGTACCGTCCTTCGATAGTGTAGCTTGAAATCCAGCATTTTCAATTGCTTCGAGTATTGACTCTTCCTAAGGAAAATGTAACCAAAAAGAGAAACTGTTTGGTGATCTCAACAAGAACATGTGGAGAAAACTATTTAGGAGAAGCAATTAATATCAGAATCATTTCAAATACACTTTCTAACACAATGTAAGATAGAGTTTTCAATTTTAATATGTGAATTCCATGAGATACTCTTATGACCATGTTCTGTTTCTTCTTGTTTTTTTCCCATCTGTTTCTCTTCTTTCTCACATTTCTCACAACATTATGTTATATTATCATTTATGGTGAAATTACAAGTTTAATTAATTAGTTAAGATGATGTATAATAATAATTATTTGGTATCTAATAGATTTCTAAACTTTCATTTTTGTATCTAACAAATCTTTCAATTTTAAGAGCATCAAATAGATTCTTAATTTTCAAGTTTATGTTTAATACTTTCTAACCTATTCGATATTTTAAGTTAATTGACTTAATTTTGTGTCTAAACAAATAGCTTCTTTTAATGGTGTTTAATAGTTGTGAATTTTTTAAAAAAGTTAACCTGTCAAACGATAAATTGAAAGTTTAAAAACTACTTTTAAGAGCATTTTAGTAGTACATGTTTCTTCTATAATTTTTTTTTTCTTCTTTTCTCTCAACTTTACTCTTTTTTCTAAATTTTTTCCTTTTTGTCTTTAACCTTTCCCTGATTTTCCTTCTCTAATTCTTTTTATTAATCTCTCTAAAATTTGCTTTAAAAAAGTTTATTCTTATCGTTTTAAACTTTTATTTTCATGTCACAGGGATCTTAGGGTCGGATACCCACTCCAAAAATAGGAAATCAATTTCCTACCATCCCCCAATCTGCTCATCGATTCTATTTTTTAAACAATAAAGATGTATTTTATTAACTATTTTACCAAATTATGAATAAATTTTAAAATAATTATTTATACCAGTAAATAATAAATTTTCAATAAATAGATATTATTTATATATATTTATTACTTTTTTATTTTTTAATTCTAAAATAATTAAAATTAATGACTAAAAAGGTAATTTTCCCTCGAAGATTCTTGTCCCCAAACGAGGACTCCTCGACTTGGACATTGATTCCTAAAATTAGATAATGAGGTGAGGACGAGAACTAAAACTTTCAACGAGGGCGAGGATGGAGAAGGCGTCCCCGACTCCCACGTCATCTCATTGTCATCTCTACTTTATATGGATTTTTCTCTCTCTAGTCTATCTCTTCAACTCTGTAACTTTTTTAAAATATAAAATAGAAAAATAGTTTGGTTTTTTGTTTTTTAAAAATTGAAAACTGTTTATTAGACATGCCTAAGAAATAGTTACCCAATGTAATTACGTTTTTATTTATTGGAAAAAAAAAACAAAATGAAAAACAAGAAATATGAACCTTACTAAACAAGACTTTAATATTTAGAGATTTATTAGGCACAAAATATATAGTTTAAGAATCTATTAAATATGTCAAACATAAACGCATCTCAATTAGTTAAAGTATGCGAATCAGACCTTTGAGAAATACTTGGCCATTATTTGTGAATCTTTTTTCAGTGAGAAAAATTGGGGTGGATTTGATTATTTTATCACTTATTCATTACATCATTTTTTTTTTGAACAGCATATTCATTACATCATTTTGAAAAGCAAATAAAAAATTCACTTTATGTATGGAGAAAAGTTCCACTCGTTTTGTATTTTTGGGTACATGATACTCAATATATATTCATAAGCAATAATAAGAATAAGAATAATAATAATAAAAAAAATAATGCTTCCAAGCAGTATCTTATAAAGTTGAATATAGTAAATAAATGACAAAAAACCAAATTCTTTTTTGTTTCCGAACTTTTCATACATACTTTTGAGAAATTTTCCAAAATAATAATAAAAAAGATGGAACTAACAGCTAAATTTGGAAAATGAGGTTCACAATATAATATATATTTTTCTACTCAAATGAGTTGAAAAACATAAATTTAGGTTGATATTATTTTGGTTTAAAAAGAAGGTCTAATTTTGTAGAACATAATTTTTTTTAGCACAACATGTGGAGGTGGTAGGTACATCAAAACTTTTGGATTAGAAATATATGTCAATTACAGCTGAGCTCTGCTCGATTTGATTTTGATTGTTGAACATGGTTAATGCACTAGTAACCTTGTAGAAATGTTGAATCTATTATCTTTTATCTAATAAAAGAAAAAAAAAATCTCACATTGATGTTATGCAAATATTCTTTCCTATTTGATTTTCGTGGCTATATTCAAACATTCTTGTTGAATGTTTTGAGTGCTTTATTAGCTAATTATTGTGTGCTATTTATATATTAATTTTGGATAATTTTTTAATTTTAATTCTGAAAAAGAAATTTATTGCATTACTTATTAAGTCCATTTGGTGTAATTGAAAACAACCACCTTTTTCCTCAATTCTTATATTCATCCATCAATGACAATTATATTTTGTAAATAATTATAGAGATAATATTTTCAATTGGTCAAAATATAGTTTCGATTGGGAACTTATCCTCTATTTTCATTCTCATTTCTAAATTTTTTTATTACTCGTTTTCACTATTATAGTCTCTCATGTTTGATTATCAATTAGAAATTAGTCCCTACTTCTGACAAATAAAAAAAAATCAATGCTTTCGATATTTTCAACTTATTGAAGACAATATTTAAAGTTGAAGTTAAATTTGTTACATGTTTTTCTCAATTTAATGGGTAATATATTGAGAATTCTAAAAAATTAAGAACCAAATTTATATTAATTTAAAAGATTAGGGATGATATTATATATTAAACATCACTGTAAGAAATTTGTAGGTAATAAAATATTTTTGATTCTATAAAATAGTTTAGTTTGTAACGATTTAGTCATTGTACTTTAAAATTGATAACAATTATTTCTACAAATTTAAAGTTTGTGGGGATTTAATCTCGTGTGAATAATTTTGTGTGTTGGCATTCAAACTCACATTTTTTTTTGTTGGGATATATAATTGAAATATGATCAAATTAGTAGGTACCAACACCCCACACGTGTAAATAGATTATTGTTATATAATAAGATTTGACACTTAATTTTAATGAAATTATTTTATGGTATAAAGATTAAATTGTTATAGATTTTAAACTCGATTAAATTGTTATAAAGTTTATAATTTAAATTATTATCCATTTAAAAGTATATGAATTAAAACGATATAAATGAAAGTTTTCAAATTAAATCATTACTCTAATAAAAATACAATAACCAAATGGTTTGTTAGCTTAATTTTAAATGTCACGTAACATACAAGTTTCCAAAAATTGAAAAATTTGAAAATTAAAAAAATGAAAGATGAATATATATATATATATATATATATAGGTGTCGACCAAATACTGTTCTATTCAAACACTTTTTACTTTCAGAAAAAAGAAAAAAATAGAAAAGAGAGAGAGAAAAAAAAAAAGAAAAACACAGTACAAAAAAGGCCACCAGTAGGAGTAGAGCACTCGCGTGGTGTTTAAACAAATCACGTAAAAATAAGAAGGAAAAAAAAAAAGAAATGGCGGTGAGAAGTAAGAGCAATTCGATCGTTCTTCAAAACTAGAAAAAAGATGAAGGAATCAATAGGTTCTGAGTTCTTTTCAGTTTTTCATTTTTTTAATCTGAATTCGATCAAAAGCTCTCGCCGCAACTTCATTTCTGACTAAAATCAATCAACGGCGAAAAACCTAGACAGAGACTTCTTCTCCAATTGAACTAAAATAAAAAACTTAGAGAGAGAGAGAGAGAGAGAGAGAGAGAGAGAGAGAGAGATGCTTACGTCGATGAGATTTGGGAGATAGAGGATCTGAGCCCTATCGTTCAAGAAATCAACGGCGGCGTCGAGAATGCCTGGAAGGTGTTTGATGGAATTCTCCACAGAAACAGCGCAAGCAGAGCAATTCATGCCGGAAATACAGAGCACGGCCTTCGCCGATCTCGCCTCCCCCGCCGCCTCCGGCGAGCGCATCCGCCATGGCAACATGATTCAGAATCAGAACCTCGATTGCCGGCCGGAATCGATAATGGCTGAAAGTTGAAGCACTTTTTTGCGATTCAGAAAGTTGGAGGAATGGGCGTAACGATAGGAACTTTTGGAAATGGAGACGAGGGCGTTATTATAGTATAATTGTGAAGTGGGAAGGAAAATGGAGTTCGCTATTGTCCTTTTATAACTGTAAATTTAATGCTTTTTTTTTTCTTGTGCAGGAGAAAAATAGTTTACTTTATTTTCTAATTCTATTCTCTGTCTCATTTTTTTCGGTAGCATGGTATTAAAAATGGGTTAATGTCTATCAACATCTTGATGTATCCATAGGTTCGACATGGAAGAATAAATCAATATTCTCATAATATTACAAAAAAATATCTTACAAAACTTTACTAATATAAACAGAATATAAATATTAATCATATAAAAAATGATACACTTGGCCAATAAAACAACTTGCCTATTCAAGGAACTAGAAATATGAAAAAATTTTAGCTCACGAACAGTCGAACATCTTCTCAAAAATTATCGGGGTAGAATCCTCAATTAATAGAGGTATCTTGTCAATTATGACACCCCTATTCACAATTAGAATGGAAATAAGTGTCTCAAAAGTTGTCTTTTATTGTCATTCTTCCCCATGACAAGTAAGGAAGAATTAGACAAATTCCTCGAACCACGTTGATCACAAATCCCAAAATGGTGTTTGAATATCTCTACAATTATTTTTGTTAAAATTTCCTATATACAAATAAAAAAATATAAAGGAGAAAAAACGTAATATATATATATATATATATATATATTATTTTTGTTCATTTAAAATATATTATAAAAATATTTTTCTTATCTAAGTACAGGCATGAGAGATTTATTCTTTTGGCATAGATCTAAAAGAAAAAATATGTACAAATTCTAATTATATAAATATTTAATTTAAAAAAGGAAAAAAGAAATTAAGATTCTTTTTCAACACTTTTTAAATGATGCAGTTTACTGTTGTGGACCTAAAATTATATCATGTTTTATTTTTTATAGTCCAGTAATACTTAAAATCATTCAATAATTTATCAAAAATGATTTTAAAATATTGACGGTTAAATTAGAGAAACACCATCCAACAAAATTTTCAAAAGCAATATTTTGTAAGTTATACAAGTTAAATTATTATTAAACAGTAATTTTTTAATATTTTTATTATATAGACTTGAAAATTAAGAAGATTAAATCTCCGATACTTATATTGTATTCAATGAAATATTTTTACCCAAGTTTTTCTTCCTAAAAGTTTCTAAAATCACCCTTGATTGTGAGAAGTTTCCTTTTTTATTGGGAGCGTGAAATTAAACCCCACGATTTTAAGATGGATAAATATGTCTTAACCAGTTGAACTATATTGTGAGAAGTCTAATACCGTCAAAACCTTTTATAGAGATTTTTTTGTTAAAAGAAAAAAGAAAACTAAAATGAACCAAGAAGAGGGCAATTACTCTCCTTTTAAAGATATATTTGATTCACATTTATTAGTATAATATATGTCAAAAGAATTTTGGTTGTCAAAGTAGTAGAATAGAAGATTTCTAGTAAAGTAGCATGTGTATGAAAAGGATGTAATCCTTATAGGAATTATGTACCAACAAGTACCCTTGTAGGAAGTTGTGGATATGCAGTTGGCAAAAGTGAGAAGTTTTCTTTCTACTCTGACAAGAACGATTCTAAACTTTACTCTTTTGGTAAAAAAATATATACATCTTAATTAGTTGAATTATATGTCTGAGAGACCAAACTATATTAGATAATTAATCCTTTAAATGTGGACAAAAAGAGGTAGATATTACAATATTATGAACTCTATTAAATAATAACTAATATTTCATCCTAGAGAGGAGTCAAAATTAATTTCCAATTATGAAATTTTTGTCTATAAATTTTTTTTTCTTTTTGAGAATTAATTTTTGTCTATAAGTTAAACTAATGGAGATGTTAATTACTATAGAACGGAGGCTATTAAGCTAAATTAATTCTCAATATTTATGGATTATATTAAGTATCTACATAAATAATAAATATAGATTTGATCTTAAAACTAACAAATTTGATAGAGATTTTATGAAAGCTCATTAACCTTATTTGACTTATTTTTTTTACATTATTTGAGCTTAATTGACATGCATAATTATATATAAAAAAAAACTAGTTATTGAAAATTTCAAAAACCGCAAGTCATAACATTTTAGAACTTTCAACTTGATCGATCACCTCGTATACTTACAAATTGTTGTAGTTACATTCTTAAAATATTACAAGAAAATGTATGCACTACTGTTCACCTTTTAAGTATTGTTATAATTAAACCCTCAAAACTATAATATTTACCATCCACTCAAATTTTTTACATAATATATTTTAACTTTGTAACTTAACCTAAAACATATTATGATAATTCAACTTGATTAAAAAATATTAATCCTTTAATTTTGTATAAGAATCATTTGTCCTTGCTATAAATATTTTATAAATTATTTAACAAAAAACTACTATAGCCATCTATTTTGTTGATTCAAATATAAATCTACTCGAATAAGTTAATGAAAGTTACACTGTAGCAGGTAAAATGTCAAATTAATTATATATAATTTACATTTTTAACGATAAAGATTAAAAAAATTTTAATATAAAATCTAAACATTAAACTAAATGAAATAAATTTAAAGCTTGATAAATTCCAATAGAATTTGACCTTTAAAAAATGACTTCTAAAATTTCAGAGGCCCATAATGCAAGATTTCAATATTATAAAAATTCTAAGTTGTCTTTTATGGAATAAGGGATAATATGCTTTATGAAAGTGAAGTAATAATAATAATAATAATAATAATAATAATAATAATTGAATAAGTGGATTCTTTCATGGATGTATCAAGTTATTATATATAATAATACTAGTAATAATAAAATAAAATAAAATTGAATAAGTGGATTCTTTCATGGATGTATCAAACTTTTATATATATATAGAAGTCCACTTTCTATCCTTCCAATAAAGTGATTTTTTTTTTTCAAATGAGTAAAGAAATGCAGACAAAGCCCATCCAATATTCCCTTTTGTCCCTTATTAAATGTCAAATCTTTCAATTTTATGAAAATATTAATACAATTTATGTAGATAGATATTAAAAAAAAAAATTAATTTAAATTAATAAATAAAGGCTTCACCTTTTTTAAAATAAGTTAACAACAATTATTATTATTATTATTAATAATTTATTTATATTAGTGACATTTTACTGCTATATATTTTAAAATTTTGTCGATTTTTTGGTGATACTATTGAAATGTCGATTCACCTTTACATCGATGTTAAACTTATAGACATATAGGAACGTTGAAAAAAATTAATACCTCGGTTCATGCTACCTTCTTGAAAGGTTGTGAGTGGAAAAAGCTATAAAATTATTCTTTGATTTCTCTAAAAAAAAGATGAGATGCTTTTAATTTTAAAGTCACAAAAATTCAAGATCGTGCATATTTGTAAGGACCAAAATCAAACTCATAAAAAGAGGAATAAACTAATATGTATCTGTTGGTATGATATTATTTTTCTTTTAACGAAAGATTAGCAACCACAAACAAAAAGCAGATCGTCTTTTAACTATGCATTTTTCAAATTCAAGATGGGTAACTCTCATGCTTTGATGGGAAATAGAATACTAATAAAAAGCATAAAATATTGGAGACCATAATTTTATATTGGAGTGTTTTGACTAAATAATTAGGGAATGAATTGAAAATTTTTAGACCATAGAGACCAAATTGAAGCTATCTACCAAACATAGGGACTAAAATTGAATTTTCAGGAACATATGACCAAATTGAAATTATGTAATAATCATAGGGATCAAATTTGTAATTTAACGTATAGTATATTATGTAAATTTTATTTTTCTTAATTTATGAGATGCAAAAATTATATGTATTCAATTTTGATAGTTAAATTTATTAAAATATATTTTTCAATAGATATATTATTATTGCCAACTCGTTTAATCTTTCTTTGCATAATTGGTTTCAAATACAATTTTGGTTAATTTTAGCTTTGAAAATATATCTTACTGATTAAATTTTAATAATATTTTAAAATCAATATATGCATTATTCCAATATTGCATAAGTTGGTGAGAATTTCTAGATTTTTTCTTTAGTTTATAATTTCAAGAGTTAAGAATAATATAAATTAGTAAACAAAATATATTTATGGTGGATTTTAAGAGAGATTGAAAGATTTTTATTGTAAAATAATAATAATAATTAATTAATTAATTAAAAGAATTTAAAAGATTTCTCGTGAAAATTTGAAGGCTAATCAATAATTGGGTTTTCCAGATTGTTTGTATTTGTGGGGATTTTCCCAACAAAATTTGAAAAAAAAAACCACAATAAACATTACTTTCTTTTTTTGTCACTACCAAGAAAAATCGGTGGTAGAATTAAATTAATTAAAGATAAGATTATGTCGTTGTAAAAATTCAATAATGATTTAATGTTTGTTTGTTATCTCATATTCTTTTTTTTTTTTTTTTTGAAAATATATATTCTAAAATTTTACCTTTATAATTATAAACTAAAATACATAGATCATAATATTATTTATGTATGTTATATGAAGAAGAAAAGAGGCATTTGAAAATTGGGGGCTTTATATAATCGTTTCACACATGTATTAAACCCTAATATTTTCTTTGTTGCAAAATGTCCATTTTCTAAAGATATCCATTTCTTACACGTTCCTCCCTCTACCATAAACTAGGTGGAAGGAATTAATATGCTGTAACTTGTAAGCTTCTTCTCTTTTTTTTTTCTTTTCTTTTTTGATAAATCGTAACTTGAAAGCTTTATAGTAGTGAAGTTTACTTTCTCTTTTATGATTTTTTTTTTCTTTTTGGTAAAAAGAACTTCAACAAAGGGAAGGTAATCCCTTTTAACTATCCAAGAATTTGTGAGCTTGTCCGGATTCTTTATTATCTAATACAAGTACATATATAGTTAGATATGTTTTGAAAAGATTCTCGTGTGACTAAAATTCTTAATGTCATTTATAAAATCACTTGTTTAAATGTGATATATAAG